AGATGAAAAAACCGCTAGACGAAGAGAATCACAGAACGGATTCTTTTCGTCTTGCGAGGCACCACTGTACTGCCCAAAACAAGTGGAAGCAGTGCACAGCCATAATGGCTAGTGGTCAGTTGTAAAAGCACGCGAACGTAATAGGCCGCATGGTAACAATCACAAGTTATTTACTAGAAACTACTTATAAAAAATTAGATGCCACTTCTCATAATGTCAAAATCAACATTGTGACATAATATAATAAAACGTAACTTTTCAGTTGACCGCCAAGTCCTGTCTGTTCTAAATACAAGTCCTATATTGTCAGTGCCGTAGTGCATTCTTTCTTAATTTCTTCATCTCTCGTATTTTTCTGTCTGATGTATTCCTTAGAAGAGTGGCATGAAATAGTCTTCTAAGCGTCCAATAAAGAGAACTGGGTTGGCAGACAAAAGAAACTGGCAGTGATGGCTATGAATTTGCCTAATTCTCTCTTAATTGGTGGCTATTACTGCATTTTGCATTAGTGAATTGCAGAGTTTAACAGTGAAGAAGTGCTTCCTTTTGTTCGTCCTTAATCTGTGCACAATTAGCTTCACTGGATGGAATGGAAAGGCAGTATCCTAGAGGGAGAAACACCTCCCTCTCTCCTATTTCCACTGTATTCTGCTCTGGTCAGACCTCACCTGGAGTACTGTGTCCAGTTCTGGGCACCACAGTTCAAGAAGGACACTGACAAACTGGAACGTGTCCAGAGGAGGGCAACCAAAATGGTCAAAGGCCTGGAAACGATGCCTTATGAGGAACGGCTAAGGGAGCTGGGCATGTTTAGCCTGGAGAAGAGGAGGTTAAGGGGTGATATGATAGCCATGTTCAAATATATAAAAGGATGTCACATAGAGGAGGGAGAAAGGTTGTTTTCTGCTGCTCCAGAGAAGCGGACACGGAGCAATGGATCCAAACTACAAGAAAGAAGATTCCACCTAAACATTAGGAAGAATTTCCTGACAGTAAGAGCTGTTCGACAGTGGAATTTGCTGCCAAGGAGTGTGGTGGAGTCTCCTGCTTTGGAGGTCTTTAAGCAGAGGCTTGACAACCATATGTCAGGAGTGCTCTGATGGTGTTTCCTGCTTGGCAGGGGGTTGGACTCGATGGCCCTTGTGGTCTGTTCCAACTCTATGATTCTATGATTCTATTTCTAAAGACCATGCATACCGTTATACATCTGTATCATATTTCCCCATAATCGCCTTTGTTTCAGATGAGTAATTCCTCATATTTTTCCAACCCATTAATTATTTTGTTTGTTCTTTTCTCAACGTTTTCTGAATCTGCAATATTATTTTTGAGGTCATGCAATCGGATCCATACAGTTTTATAAGGGCGGATGCACCACAGATTTGTATATCAGCACTATGATATTGGCAGCTTAGTTTTGAATCTTTCCCTAAAACGGCATTGACCCATTTCACACCCTGCGCCAATATCTTTACTGAGCTATCAGCTATGATCCCAAATGTCACTTTCCTTCTCAGTCATCACCAATTCAGATCTCATTTGCAGATGTGTTAAGTTAGGATTTTTTTTTTGCTTGAAGGTGCACTATATAAATTTGCTTACATACATTTGGTTATGTTACTGTCTTTAATAATGTTTTCCACCAGTTTCCCCAAAACAAACATTAAACTAAGGTGCAGTTTCCTGGAAACTAAATCCCTTACATTGGCTTCCCTGTTGGAGGAAAAGAAACTGGGCAATCTCACAGACAAGTTATATATTTTTGTTAGAATACCTGACTTAGAATTCTTAAACTAATGGGTAAATTCCATTGGCTTTGGGTGATTTCTGAACACTTAAGATCTCCAGTTGCCCATTTTTCCACACCTTACCCTGGATGGACTACGAATAAGGGAATTGCTTTCCTTTTCCAGGGATCAATGAGCTTTGAGGGGGTGTCCTTGCATTTCACCGATGACGAATGCTCCCTGCTGGATCCAGGTCCGAGAGTGCTGTACAAGGAAGTCATGATGGAGATTTATGAGATGGTGGCTTCTGTGGATAAGGTCCTTTCCCCCTTGATCAATAGCTAGCGAAGGTGTGAACCCCTGTTGGTGTAATATCAATTAGAGAGGGTGTTCTTAATTTCCCCATGACAAAGAATGTATGAAGAGCCCTGTTGGGTCGAAACAAAATCCTATGTAGTCCAGCATTCAGATGCACACAGACACACTTGTGAAATGTGATTTTACAGACGTCAAAGATTAGACACATTGGTTAAGAGTGACTTGATTCTCATTTTTCTGGCCAATGAGGTCTCTGGTTCTGATTGGGTGGGGGGTGAACTTGCTTTTTCGATAGGATTGTTCTTACAACTGCAAGGCGTGGAAACAAAGGCTGAAGGGGTCTCATGTGCGCTGGTTGCAATTTACTGCTTTTAGGTTAGTCATAGACTGTTTAATCACATAGTTTGCTTAGCAGCATACACGACAGAATGATGGCGTTGCAGATATTATGCATTACTATTCATTGCATTTCGTTGCTTTTTCAAGGAAGGTCATCGCAAAGCAAGTCAATGTAGGTTGCAAAGATTAAGGCCACAATAATTCTTTAAGTTAAAGGCCAAAGGCCTGGCTGAAAAGAAATGGGGAAAGTGTATTTCTGAGGTTTGATGGCTCATAATACCACTTTCTCTAGGAGTAATATCTTGGCTCACAGGCAGAGGTACCTGGCCTCCCCCGAGGCAATTGAGCGAGATACTGTGTTTACCTTCCGTCTGCGACTGCCCTAGGTAAACAAACCCAGCGATTCTTCTCATTAGACGTGAGAAAGAACACACCCTCTGCTTCTCTCTCCCTCCCTGCATTCCCCCAGGGAGGGGAAATGAGACAGACAGGAGTCCTTTCTACATGTTTTATTCCTGTCACTCAGCAATACATAGAAATGCGACTGTTCCCTTCAGACTCCATCAGAAGAGACACAACTCCTCCCCTGTACTTCCAGCACAGGTCATATGACACTCTGAGCTAACATCCGGTGCTCAGTACAGAGAATAGGCTCCACCTTTTCTCCAACAGTACATCTGCAAAACATAACATCCTGTTTTGCATTCCAGCCATCTGGAGCTGGCTTTTGCCTTGGTGCTTTTTCCCAACAAAAATTATATATCAATGGAGGTTTCAAGTTTTATCCTTCTGAAATGTCCAGACTAGGGGAGGGTTCTCGGTGGGATATATTTGTGCTGCCTGTGCTTCACCCACCTCCTTTGCCCTAACCTCCAGCCCAAGGAATCTTCAGAAGGGAGTTGCTGCCAAGGACATTATTTGCATTTTAATGAACTGAATAGAATGAAAGAACCTGCAGCACAAATTGAAGATAAGGGACAACTGACTTTCTAGCAGTGCATGTGAAAAGGATCCAGGAGCCTTAGTAGAACACAAGCTTAACATGAGTCAACCGTGTGATGCAGCAGGAGCAGGAAAAAAAATTCTATTCTGGGCTGCATCAACCAGATTGGTGTCAAGGGAAGTAATAGTACCACTCCATTCTGCCTTGGTCAGACCACACCTGAAATACCGTGTCCAATTCTGGGCACCACAATTTAAGGATTTTGACAAGCTCGAAAGCCTTAGGAAGAGCACTTGAAGGAGCTGGGCATGTTTAGCCTGAGGAGGAGACTGAGAGGAGATACGATAGCCATCTTCAAATATTTTAAAATATGGAAGAGGATACAAGCTTGTTTTCTCCTGCTCAGAAGGGTAGGACTTGAACCAATGGCTTCAAGTTACAAGAAAGGAGATCAAATTGTTATTGTGCATTTTAACGTATATGTGTGCATTTTATATAGGTGCAAGCCTCCTAAACACGACACTATTGATTCATTGTAACTTGCTCATCAGCAAAATAGGCTCCCAGAATGAGGAGAAAGGGGAAAAGCCGAGTTACCTGTTCAAAACTGGTTCTTCTTACAGTGACAAGCTGTCACAGATCAGTGGAGGGAGGTGAAGACCTGGTTACTTCTTTTATGATTACAGTATTTGGTTTATTTTAAAATAGTTATTCATTTAAAGAACTTCTAAAGAACTATATTCTCACCATATGAGAGTTTAATGCCTCTTTAATCTGTTCAGTGGTAAAGATTATCTTTTCTACGATCTCCTACTCTCAATTTGGAGAAAAGGTGGGGCATTAATAATGATGATGATGATACGAAGGCTGCCCATTTTATTAATATAATAATAATAATAATAATAATAATAATAATAATACTCCGGCTCTCAGTGGTCACTGGATCCTGCATGGGGCACCTGCTGGAGGAGAGGATCCTGCCCTCGGGCCCTGATTCTGCAGAGCTTTCTAGAAAAAATCGAGACTCCTCTGCTCGCTCTCCGCCAGGAGCAGCCAATAGGTTCCTGCCGCTCGGCTCCGCAAGGGTTAAGCCGAAACCACAGAGCCAAGATTCCTAGAGCGGAAGGGGAGTCGTGCGCAAGAGGAGGCGGAGCTTCCGCTTCCTGTTCCGGGCCTCTCCCTCCTTCCTGTGGGACGCAGCTGCTTTGCCTGGAGGCGCCTCTTTCCTCCTCTTCTTCCTTGCGGAGGAGCTTCTCCCGCTCTTTCTCCGCCGGGGAGGCTGCCTCTCCTGCCGCCTCCAGTTCAGATGCGGGGAAGGAGAGACGGAGGAAGGAGGAGGAGGAGGAGGAATGTATGTATTTGGGGGGGCCTGGTCTTGGGCAAGGGGGGGGCGATTTCAACAGTCTTTATAGGGGCTTCGGGGTTCTCCTCCCTCCTGCGTGTGGTGAGCGGAGACCATGTTGCAACACTTTATTTCCCTTAATAAAGATCAGGCTTTCCAGCCGCTTTACTATCAATATACAGTGGTACCTCGGGTTAAGAACTTAATTCGTTCTGGAGGTCCGTTCTTAACCTGAAACTGTTCTTAACCTGAAGCGCCACTTTAGCTAATGGGGCCTCCCGCTGCCGCCGCCACACGATTTCTGTTCTCATCCTGAAGCAAAGTTCTTAACCCGAGGTACTATTTCTGGGTTAGCAGAGTCTGTAACTTGAAGCGTATGTAACCCGAGGTACCACTGTACTCTGCTTGGGCTCTGCTTCCTCTGACCGATAGAGATCGCCTGAGAGAGATTTCTTATACGGCCTCTAGATACCCCAGAAGGGTATTAGAAGTATTATACTTAAGACAACACCTTACCTTGGAGTGCTTACAAAGAAGGGAACGGTTTTCTTCTTCCAGGGATCGGTTTTCTTCTTCCAGGGATCGGTGAGCTTTGATGAGGTGTCTGCGCATTTCACCAACGAGGAATGGGCCTTGCTGGATCCGGGCCAGAAAGCTCTGCACAAGGATCTTTTTCGCCTTAATCAGTAGCTAGCAGAGGTGTGAATTATCGTTTGTGTACCATCAGTGAGATCACTAGAAGGCGCATTGGTAATTTCTCCTGGACTAAAGAACATTTGAAGAACCTTGTTGGATCAAAGGCCCATGTAGTCCAGGATTCTGTTCTCACGGTTGCCAATGTGGGAAAGAAAGAGGACTAATGTGTTTCTGGGTGTCAGAAGAGGAAGAATATGCACAGCAGTCCTTTGCAGATTTACTCCTAAGTAAGCTCCACTGAGTTCAATGGGTTGTACCTTCTGGTCACTAATGTGTGAACCATGCCAGCCTTAAGAAAGGATAGAGGAAGCAGACAGATTAATTTGGAATCACAAAAACATGTTTAAAAACTGTTGGGGACTCTTGCAGAGGGGATGCCCCATTTGAGCTTATCCAGGGGCAGGAGACTATCTAGGGCAGGTGAATCCCTGGAGGCTCCTTTTACTTTTACTCTCCCACCCAAGGAACCTGCAGCTTGTTTTGTCTTCTGAGCTCTTCAGGAAGGATGAAGGAGGCTGATCCTGCAAAGTTAGCGAGGATGGAAGGGGGAAGATGGACGGTTGACCTGGTCAGGCTGTCTCCCACCACCTTTGAATGTTCCCTCCCAGGACCCTCAGAGAGATCTGGTGAGTTGCAGGGAATGGAGATGGAGATCTGGGAGGATGTTTGGAGTGAGGAAACTCCCCTGGCAAGAAAACCAGGAAGGCTGCAGGGCAAGACTACTGGGCTGTGAAAGATAAAAGGTATAAAAGGAAAGGAATGTTTTTCAATGGTGGCATGGGTGCGGGATTTTTGGTGGGTGGGCAGGACTTTTGTTAGGGAGGCAGAACCAGCGTGGTTGGTCAGTTAGTTATGTATTTCTAATTAGTTATGTATTTCTAATGTTTTACTTAATCTGGGGAGCTGCCCCCCAACCCCTCCTTGGTTACGCCCATAAATGGTGGTGTGAAGAAAATTCTTTTTCAGTCAGTTCCATAGTATGTTATGTTGGGTCCTGAATCTTCAGACACTCGCTGGTAGCTGCAGCAATTGCCAGATGAGGGACTGAATGGGCTTCATCTGAGTATTCAGACAGATTTTTTTAGGTTTGCAGCAGCCAAGCTGCCATGTCAGCAGTGAGAGACTTGTGAGTCATGGCGGCAGTCCCTCTCTGCTGCCCTATAATGTGGCCTCAGGGGTGGGACGTGCAGGGACCAGGATGTGACTGCAAAGGATATGTATCTGGAGCCTGAAAATGCACCGCTGATTGTTCCTTGACACCTGAGACAAGATAAGGACCACTTGCTTTTTAAAATACTCCCATATATACAGAACTCCTGGTGTGCCTTTTGCAGACTCTCCCAAGTGTGCTTATTTTCCAGGGACAGTCCCAGATTTACAAAAGTCACCCCAGTTTTCAGATTTGATCCTGGAATGTCCCACTTTTTCTTAAAAGGTAAAGGTACCCCTGACCGTTAGGTCCAGTCACAGACAACTCTGGGGTTGCGCGCTCATCTTGCTCTATAGGCCAAGGGAGACGCCGTTTGTCCGCAGACAGCTTCTGGGCCATGTGGCCAGCATGACTAAGCCGCTTCTGGTGAAACCAGAGCAGCGTACAGAAACGCCGTTCTATTTACAAATAAAACATTTAAATAGCTACCTTTCTACCAGTAGGATGGGATGGGGGGCCACAGGAACGAAACAAGGTCAGAAGGTGGCCAAGGCCGGGAAAAGGTTGAAACTCTGTTCTACATTATGTTTCTGAATTTAAGAGAGGTTAGGGCAAGCTGCCAGTTAGATGAGGAGGATTTTCTGGGGATGATGCAAAATGAAAAATAGAGGTGCATCAGCTTAAATTCAGCATTAAAAGTCCTCTGTGGATGAGGCCTGATAGAGACACAGCATTTACCAGTTTTCATTTTTAATCCATCAGGAGATGTTTGGGGGATCCAGACTGAAAGAGAAACATCAGAAGTGCCTCATGAAAGAGCGGAGGAGCATAATGCACAACGGAAACTGCGGGTTCAAGTTGGAACCTACAGAAATGAGGGGACCCAAATGCAGAAGGTGGGGAGGGAATCCACCGCTTCTCAGGTTAATGAAAATCAGATTTGCAGAGAGAAGCATGAATGTATTGTGTGTGGAAAGAGATTTCCTTATCGCTCAACGCTTACTTCACATCAAAGAGTGCACTCGGGTGAAAAACCTCATAAATGCTGGGAGTGTGGAAAAAGTTTTAGTCAGAGTGGCTCCCTTACTTTGCATCAAAGAACTCATACAGGGGAGAAACCTCATCAGTGCTTTGAGTGCGGAAAGAGCTTCAGTAACAGTGGCTCCCTTAATATGCATCATACAACCCACACAGGGTACAAACGAAATTACAAATGTTTGGACTGTGGGAAGAGCTTCAGGTCCCGTGACTCCATCATGAAGCATCAAAGAATTCATGCAGGTGAAAAACCATACAAATGTTTGGACTGTGGGGAGAGCTTCAGGCACAGTGACTCCCTCACGAAGCATCAAAGAATTCATACAGGGGACAAACCTTATGAGTGTTTGGAGTGTGGAAAGAGCTTCAGTCGCAAAGACTCCCTTACTTTGCATGAAAGAAGTCACACAGGAGAAAAACCTTATAAATGTTTGGAATGTGACAAGAGCTTCATTCGTAGTAGCCACCTCTCAAGACATAAAAGAACTCATACAGGGGATAAACCTTATAGATGCTGGGAGTGTGGAAAGAGTTTTAGTCAGAGTGGTCACTTTACTTTGCATCAAAGAACTCATACAGGTGAGAAACCTCATCAGTGCTTTCAGTGCGGAAAGAGCTTCAGTAACAGTAGCTCCCTTAATAAGCATCATACAACCCACACAGGGCACAAACCATATTACAAATGTTTGTACTGTGGGAAGAGCTTCAGGTACAGTGACTCCCGCACGAAGCATCACAGAATTCATACAGGGGACAAACCTTATGAGTGTTTGGAATGTGAAAAGAGCTTCAGTCGCAAAGGCTCCCTCACAAAGCATTACATAACTCACACAGGAGAAAAACCTTATAAATGTTTGGAATGTGACAAGAGGTTCGTTAGTAGTAGCCACCTCACAAGACATAAAAGAACTCATACAGATAAACCTTATAGATGCTGCGAGTGTGGAAAGAGCTTTAGTGACAGTATCCGCCTCACAAGACATAAAAAACCTTCCAAGTGTTTAGAATGTGGAAAGAGCTTCTATTGCAGCAGCCACCTAGCTAAACATCAAAAAATTCATACAGGGGACGAATCTTACGAATGTTTGCAGTGTGGGAAGAGCTTTTGTCACAGTAGCTCCCTTACTCGGCATCAAAGAACTCATCCGAAAACATCTTAGAAGGGGTTGGAGTGGGGAAAGATCTTCAATCACATCAAGATCTCCTACAGGAAGCAAACCAAAGATTGTACTCAGTGTTAGAAATGGCTTCTTTATCTTTGTTTGGTTTTAATCTTGCTTACCTCCCTCTGTTTAATCATAGGTGTTTGCTTGTTCTGAGGTCTTCTGAGCCAAGTCTTCCTCCTAATGTCCACAGTTGAGTAGCAGGGTTTTGTATTAGATTTTCTTGGTGTATTGGCTTCTCCTTCCATCATGGCAGTCTGAACGTAGCAAGGCGAAGAGTGGGCTTGCATTAGACAAGGAAAGAGATATTGTGTAGATGAGGCAAAATAAAATATAGAGACACAAGCAGTTTCAAGTCCACCTTAAAGTCCAGTGTGGATGAGGTCTTTACAGTCTTTTACCAGCTTTCTTTTTTTATTCACCACCACAGCAATGATTTGTACCCTGCCCATCTAACAGGGTTGCCCCAGCCACTCTGGGCAGCTCCCAACATATATAAAAACATCTCCCATTAAAAGGTTTCCTTCTATAGGGCTGCCTTCAGATGTCTTCAAGGTTACTCATCTTTTTGACATCTAATGCCTCTGCCTGGTTCCCTGTAGCTTCTCACATTGAGGGAACCATCAGAAGGCCCTTGGTGCTGGACCTGTGGTCCTGCTGTGGCTCCAAAACTTGTTGATGTAACAGAGTGCTTTCCTAATAAAGAACAAAACTACAAATTGCTTCCAGTAGCACCTTAGAGACCAACTAAGTTTGTTATTGGTATGAGCTTTCATGCACATGCTCACTTCTTCAGATACAAAGTGTACATGTACACGAAAGCTCATACCAATAACAAACTTAGTTGGTCTCTAAGGTGCTACTGGAAGGAATTTTTTTATTTTGTTTCGACTACGGCAGACCAAACACGGCTACCTACCTGCAGCTACACATTGCTTTTCCTGTTTGGGCTGTGTGTCCGAGACAGTCAACCCCTTGGGCTTGAAGCTTTGGGGGGGGGGCTTTGGATCATAAACACAAAGTTAATAAATAATAATAATAAACAACTTGAATCAGATCCTGTTTTTGTAGCATGCATGCACAAACACATATATAATTATATCTATATATATTTATGTGTATATAATTTTATTGTTTAATATTCTTGCTTATTCCCAGGTGGGGTGCCTACTTCCCCATTTTCATTTTCCAGTTTTTCCTACACATCTTTGTTCTTCCGCATCCGTCCCATAGGATCTGACATTCATCTCTCCGGTCTTTCCAGAAGCTGCAAAACACAGAAACATTCCTTATGGTTGCTATGCTGCAGATTGATTTCCGGAGGAGAGTTAAATTTACAAATACAGAGTTTATTTCCTTTGGCACATAAAACATTCCTTGCATTTAACATTCCGTATTTTGCACTTACGCATCTTTATAATAATTTTAAGGGATTTATCCTAAGGAAACTGGAGGTTTTAAGGGCCTAAGCTGATTTTAGTTGTATTTTATCGTTCCTACACTGGTCATGTAGGTGTTGGTCAAACCAAACCCTGTGAAACTCCCTCCCATCAGTTGTCAGTGAGATAAATTGCTACACAACTTTTAGAAGACATTTTAAGGCAGCCCTGGGTCGGGAAGTTTTTAATGTTTGATGTTTCATGATGCTTTTATATGTGTTATAATTTTAAATAATGCATGGGTTAGAAAAAGTGGTTAGAAAAGCATTTCTGTCCACCAGTTGTTAACTCCAGAACCTGAGGAGATAAGATACTTCCTACAGCACATGAACTACAGAATCTCTTCCCCCAGGAAGCATAGTGGCTTGGAACGGGGATGAGGCCCATTCATGGAGGATTGGGCTAGTCCCAGACTTTGCAACTCCTGCCCTAGAGAAGTCAGATGGGCTGCCAGCTGGTGAAGACCTTATGCCAAATAAGCTTCTGGAAACTGGCTGTTTTTGAGGAAAAGGCTGGTGTTGCTGTCCTTTTATTATTTTTAATATCAATATTTAATAGTCCTTTATATCCATATATATTTTCTCTTGAAGTTTAATCACTTTTCCAATTTAACGGTAACCTGCCTTGACTTCCCGTCCTGGAAAAAGACAGGCCAAAAACATAACATTAATACAAATGGTAATGATGATGTCCGTGGGTTCTGGCCAAGCTGGCTCTGCTTTAAACATGTGTCCTTCCGGGGGGGGGGGGGCGTGTTTCTAGATGTCGCTTTCTGGATATTGGCCTTCTTAAAGTCCCTTTCCCTTGCCTTTGCCTCATGAAACCCAGGAAGACAGGATCCCATTCTACTTGGAAATGGTGACTTCCTCACAAAGATCCCAGTACTTGTTTTTTTTTTGGGGGGGGGGTGTTATTGGGATGTTTTTGTTTATGTATTTTGTTTTTATATTCTGATTTTATATTGTGAGCTGCCCTGAGATCTGCACATATAGGGTGGTATGAAAATGTAGTAGTAGTAGTAGGAAGAAGAAGAAGAAGAAGAAGAAGAAGAAGAAGAAGAAGAAGAAGAAGAAGAAGAAGAAGAAGAAGAAGAAGGAGGAGGAGGTCAGTTCCTCCCTATAGGTGAGGACCAGGTCCAAGAGAGATGACCCCCTTGTTGCTTCTTTTTATGTTTATTAGCTATATCTTCCAGCTGTATCTAACTATCTTTATTAGAGTAGAATTCCTTTTTAAGGATTATATATGTCTTCCTGCTTTATCTGAAAGCCACCTTGACTCCCAGACTTGGGGAAAAGGAGGCATATACTGTACAATAATAAAAAATAATAATGAGACTATGGCTCTCAGGGGTCACTGGATCCTGCATGGGGAACCAGCTGGGGGAGAGGATCCTGCTGCCCTCGGGGCCTGATCCTGCCGGGCTTTCCAGACAGAATCCGGGAGCCTCTCCTCGCTCTCCGCCCCAGCAGCCAAAAGGTTCCTGCCACTCGGCTCCGCAAGGGTTAACAGGAGTCACAGGGCCGAGATTCCTAGAGGGGAAGGGGAGTCCGTAGCCAGAGGAGGAAGAGCTTCCGCTTCCTGTCCTGGGCCAATCACAAGCAGGGCAGGGGGGGTGGCCTATCGCTCCCCCCCCCTTGTGCATTTTCTCGGAGCGGTCCCGGTTTGTTTCCACTTGGGGAGGGCGATCCCTGAGGCTCCGGATTTGATTACTGCTTGTCCCTGCCCCAGTGCATCAGTCTGGCTCTGCAAGGCACGGGGGGGGGGATCCACCCCAGCGCCTAGCCCAATGGATCCCTCTGCTGCTGCTGCTGCCTTGCATCTAGTAAGTAGCTAAGTGTCTACTCAGAAGAAAGCGCCACTGAGTTCAGTGGGCCTTACTCCCAGGTAAGGGTGTGGGGGGCTGTAGTGTTTTATCTATTGTCCTGCTGTGAGTCCTGAAGGCCATTCCCTCTGTGATAGGAATTTTATGGTTTTAAATATATGGTAACGTTCATAAGTTACCCTGAGTGCTCACTGAGTGCTCACTGGAAGGACAGATCGTGAAGCCAGTACTTTGGCCACCTCATGAGAAGAGAAGACTCCCTGGAAAAGACACTGATGCTGGGAACAGTGGCGTAGCGTGGGGGGTGCAGGGGGGGCCGGCCGCACCGGGCGCAACATCTGGGGTTAGGGCAAATCCACAGGTTAGGGGGTGGAAATCCACGGGTTAGGGGGCGCAAATCCACGGGTTAGGGGGCGCAAATTACTTGCCTTGCCCCGGGTGCTGACAACCCACGCTACGCCACTGGCTGGGAAAGATGGAGGGCACAAGGAGAAGGGGGCGACAGAGGACGAGATGGTTGGATAGTGTTTTCGAGGTTACCAGCATGAGTTTGACCAAACTGCGGGAGGCAGTGGAAGACAGGAGTGCCTGGTGTGCTCTGGTCCAGGGGGTCACGAAGAGGCGGACACGACTAAACGACTAAACAACAACAACAATGTTCATAAGTGTACCAACCGAGCACATACATAGATCAGCACAGGAAGGCCAACCTGGAACCATTTTGATTCCTAAACTGACCAAATCTTTTCTCTGCAAGGTCAAAGTGGAAAAGCCTCCCCATTGTCTTTTCCTTCACAAATCCTGTCTTAAGGGTATGTCTGTGTTTGAATAGGGTGTGAGCCTGTGACCTGGCCCGGGAACTAAGTATTTATCATTACAAAAGACTGGCCAGGATACCCAGGAAATCCAATCAAGTAACCTGCCAGACAGGAGATAAACGAAAACAGGAGAAAAAACAATATTAAAATTTCTGTTTTAGACCGCCTTTTCTGTGATGTAGGTGTGATGTATCTGAGGGGTGGTCTTAAGTTACACCCCTTCTGTGATGTTTCTGGGGGTGGTCTTGATCTGCAGGATGGCAATTTCAAAAGTCTTTATAAGGCCTTGCACACCATTTTTCTGGGTCCTTCCTCTCTCCTGCAGGTGAGGGGAGCACCCTGTTGCAACAGATCAATAAAGGCCAAGCCTACAGGCTGCTGTTTTGCTCCAAGTAATCCTGGTTGGTTTCTTTGTTTTTTGTCCAAGGGAGCCCTCGGATTTTTCCATTAACACCTGCAGGGCCTTTTCCCACCTGGCCTTGGGAGCAGGGACCATAAGAGACTCCTGGGAGGCTGGAGGCCATTGCCCTGCTGTGAGTCCTGATGAACCCAGACTCATTGGAACAAACTCTGGGGTTTTTTAATAGTTTTTAATCTGCGGCGTTTTACGTTTTTTGTTTTTTATTTTGTTTTTGCCCTCTTGGGTGTGGGATAAACATTTAGTTAGCTCTGGGGACTAGTTTAATTTCAGAATAATTGTGAATAGTTGTTTTTAGCTGGTTTCTCCTGTTTTATTGATTTATTGTATAGTTTGTGTTCTGTTTTGAAGGGGAGAGAGTCGGGGCTTCCTGGCAGTCGGCCCCAGCCAACAGAATAGGGCAGGTTACACAGGCGGGGTGTGTGCGATGCACTGGCACACCTGATATCAGTGAGGAGGGGATACACTAAGACCAGACCATCTCATTACCGAGGAGGCAGGTTTAGTCGGTATTTGAAGACTATCCCTGCCCCTGGGTCTGGTCTTGACTGGGAGGATATAGGAATCGGCAAGGGAGACCAACATGACCTAAAGGTGCTGCTGTGCAATGCCAGGTCAATGATTCACAACACCGCTGTCATCCACGACTTGATCATGGATGGAGGACTTGACCTGGCATGTGTAACAGAGTCTTGGTTGGATGAAGCAGATGAGCCTGTTCTTGCTACTGCTTGTCCACCAGGTTTCTCTTACGCACAGCAGCCCAGGTTATATGGGTGGAGAGGGGGGTTGCAGTGATTTTCAGGACGTCATTAGCTTACACCAGGCGTCTTACTGGGAAGACACAGTTTTCTGAGTGCATGTTCTGGAAGTTGGGCAATAGGGACAGTACAGGATTTCTTTTGGTGCACCAACCTCCCTGCTGCACCAAGTATTTCCTGCCCAAGCTGCTTCAGGTAATGGTGGATGTTCTCTGGGAGACACCTAGTTTGGTTGTCCTAGGGGATTTTAACATCCATGCCGACACAACCTTACAAGGGGCCGTGTGGTGTAGTGGTTAAGAGCGGTAGTCTCGTAATCTGGGGAACCGGGTTCGCATCTCCGCTCCTCCATATGCAGCTGCTGGGTGACCTTGGGCCAGTCACGCTTCTTTGAAGTCTCTCAGCCCCACTCACCTCACAGAGTGTTTGTTGTGGGGGAGGAAGGGAAAGGAGATTGTTAGCCGCTTTGAGACTCCTGAAGGGGAGTGAAAGGCGGGATATCAAATCCAAACTCTTCTTCGTCTTCTCTGGACTTCGTGGAAAGCATGGCCTCCATGGGGCTGTCCCTGAATAGGTTTGGCCCTACTCATAGTCGTGGACATGCCTTAGACCTGGTGTTCACCTCTAGTGACGTGGGTGATCTGACACTAAGTAAAAGCGAAACAAAAGAAGTGCCATGGTTGGATCACTTCAAGGTGCAACTGGACTTCTCCGCGACCCTTCCCCACTGCAGGGAGGTGGGACCGATTCTGATGGTCCTTTCCCACCACTTAATGGATCCAAATAGTTTCCAGAGAGAGTGGTAGGGGATGTTTTATCCCATGTTGATGGCCTTTCATCTGATTCCCTGTGGTCTGCTGGAATGCAGAGTTAACTAGGACTATTGACTGTCTGGCTCCAAAAGGCCCTCTCCGATTGCATGGAGCCCGGGCAGTCCCATGGTTTTCCCCAGAGCTGAGGGTCATGAAACATTTTCTGAGATGGCTAGAGCACCAGTGGTGGAAAACTCATTCTGAATTGGACTGGACACAGGTTAGAGCTCAACGTTGAGCCTACCAAGTGGCGATAGGGATGGCGAAGAGGACTTTCTTCACCGCCTCTATTGCATCTGCAGTAAACAGTATCAGGAGACCCTTTCGGGTGGTTCGCAATCTAACAGAACAGCCTTTGCCATTGGGGCCTGGTAAGGACCCCACAATTTCCTTCAAAGTATTTTACAAATAAAGTGGCTCAGATTCGGAAAGAGGTAGACGCCACCATGGGAACAGGGCTGGGGTGGGAAAGTGCTAGAGTCCTGTCCAGTCAAGTTGCATGTGATCAATTCCAATGTTGCCTCTGAGGATGTGGACAGGCTGCTTGGACAAGTGAACCAACCACCTGTTGATCCTTGCCTATCCTGGCTCATAAAAGCGAGCTGGGAAGGGCTGGGTGATGGGCTCTACGGTGTGGTGAATGGTTTCTTCTGTGAGGGAGCCTTCCCAGACCCACTGAAAGAAGTGGTTATTAAACCGCTTCTTAAAAAAATATATTTGGACCCGACCAATATAGCCAACTATCGCCCAGTCTCAAATCTTCCATTCTTGGGCAAGGTGATTGAGCAGGTGGTTGCATAATAATCATAATCATAATCATAATAATTTATTTATACCCCGTCCATCTGGCTGGACAACTCCAGGCATGCCTGGAGGATGCGGACTGTTTGGATCCCTTCCAATCAGGATTCAGGCCTCATCATGGGACTGAAACTGCCATGGTTGCTCTGGTCGATGATCTCCAGCGGGCTAGGGACAAAGGTGAAAGTTGTTTCCTAGTTCTGCTGGATCTCTCAGTGGCCTTTGATACCATCAACCATGACATCCTTCTGGACTGTCTTAAAGGATTTGGGAGCACTGTTATACAGTGGTTCCGCTCCTTCCTCCTGGGCCGTGTCTAGAAAGTGGGGGGGGGGATGAGTATTCAGACCCCTGGGCTCTCACTTGTAGGGTGCCTTAGGGCTGCATCCTCTCCCCCATTTTAACATCTATATGAAGCCGCTGGGAGAGATCATCAGGGGGGTTGGGCTGGGTGTTCATCAGTATACGGTTGAGCTCTACCTCTCTTTTAAATCAGAAGCAGAGGGATGGAGAGTGGAAACAAGGAAACTCTGGCAAGAAAGATCCCTTCAGACTCCATTTACTTCTGCCTCCCTCCCAGGAACCTGCAGCTTGTTTAAACTTCTGAGTTTCAAAGATCTGTGATCCTAGAAATGACCTGAGCTGGGGCTCCCCACCTCCAGTACCCATTAAGGCTGGGATAGGTCAGCTGAGTTCCAGGGGATTTGGGGGGGGAGGGAATGAGGAGAAATGGATGGACCCCCCCCCCAAGTGAGCAGAAAAGGCAGAGCGGGGAGAAAAGGCAAGAAGGTCTTGACTGGAGGAAGGGAGGGGAAGAGGACCAATGTGTTTCTGGGTGTCAGAAGAGGAAGAATATGCACAGCAGTCCTTTGCAGATTTACTCCTAAGTAAGCTCCACTGAGTTCAATGGCATCTATTTTAAGTCACTACTGTGTGAACTGTGCCAGCCTTAAGAAAGGATAGAGGAAGCAGACAGATTAATTTGGAAACAGAAAAACATATTTTAAAACTGTTGGGGACCGTTGCAGAGGGGATGCCCTATTTGAGCTCCAGGGGCAGGAGAATATCTAGGGCAGAGGAATCCCTGTAGCTTCTCTGAGGCTCCCTTTGCTTCTTTTTCCACCCCAGGAAAATGCTGCTTGTTTTGCCTTCAGAGCTCCTCAGAAAGGATGAAAGTGTCTGATCCTGCAAACATAGCGAAGATGGAAGGAGGAAGATGGACGGTTGACCTGGTCAGGCTGTCTCCCACCACCTTTGAATGTTCCCTCCCAGGACCCTCAGAGAGATCTGGTGAGTTCCAGGGAATGGAGGTGGGGACCTGGGGAGATGTTGGGGGTGAGGAAGCTCCCCTGGCAAGAAAACCAGGAAGGTTGCAGGGCAAGAGTTCTGGGCTGTGAGAGATAAAAAGTAGAAAAGGAAAGGAATGTTTTTCAATGGTGGCATGGGTGCGGGATTTTTGGTGGGTGGGCAGGACTTTTGTTTGAGGGGGCAGAACTGGCGTGATTGATTGGTCAGTTAGTTATGTATTTCTAATGTTTTACTTGATCTGGGGATCTGCCCCCCAACCCCTCCTTGGCTACGCCCGTGAATGGTGGTGTGAAGAAAATTCTTTCTCAGTCAGTTCCATAGCATAATGTTATGTTGGGTCCTGAATCTTCTGACACTTGCTGGTAGCTGCAGCAATTGCCAGATGAGGGACTGAATGGGCCTATTATGTTTTATTGTAATTTTACTGGTGTTAGCTGCCCTGAGCCCAGCTCTGGCCAGGGAGGGCGGGGTATAATTATTATAATTATTATTATTATTATTATTATTATTATCATCATCATTATTATCATTATTATCATTACAGACACGGCATTTTACCAGTGTTCCTTTTTAATCCATTAGGAGATATTTGGGGGATCCTGACTGAAGACGAACCATCAGAAGTGGCACCCGAAAGACCTGAGGAACAGAAGATACAACAGAAACTGTGGGTTCAATTTGGAACCTACGGAAAGGAGGGGACCCAAATGCAGAAGGTGGGGAGGGAATCCCCTGCTCCTCAGGTTAATGAAAATCAAATTCACAGAGAGAAGCATGAATGTACTGTGTGTGGGAAGAGATTTCCTTATCGCTCAACTTTTATTTCACATCGAAGAGTGCACTCGGGTGAAAAACCATATAAATGCTGGGAGTGTGGAAAAATCTTCCGTCGGCGTGACTACCTTAATCTGCATCAAAGAACACATACAGGAGAAAAACCTTATAAATGCTGGGAGTGTGGAAAAAGCTTCCGTCAGAGTAGTCACCTTACTTCGCATGAAGGAACTCATACAGGGGACAAACCTCATAAATGCTGGGAGTGTGGAAAGAGCTTCCGTCAGAGTGGTGGTCTTACTTTGCATCAAAGAACTCATACAGGTGAGAAACCTCATCAGTGCTTTGAGTGCGGAAAGAGCTTCAGAAATAGTAGCTCCCTTAGTAGGCATCACGCAATCCACACAGGGGACAAACCGTATGAATGCTTGAAGCATGGAAAGAGCTTCCCTCAGAGGAGCATTCTCACTAAACATAAAATAACGCATGCAGGTGAAAAACCATACAAATGTTTGGACTGTGGGGAGAGCTTCAGGTACAGTGACTCCCTCACGAAGCATCACAGAATTCATACAGGGGACAAACCTTATGAGTGTTTGGAGTGTGGAAAGAGCTTCAGTCGCAAAGACTCCCTTACTTTGCATGAAAGAAGTCACACAGGAGAAAAACCTTATAAGTGTTTGGAATGTGACAAGAGCTTCATTCGTAGTAGCCACCTCTCAAGACATAAAAGAACTCACACAGGGGATAAACCTTATAAATGCTGCGAGTGTGGAATGAGCTTTAGTGACAGTGGCACCCTTACTAAACATCACAGAACTCACACAGGGGAAAAACCTTATAAGTGTTTGGAATGCGGAAAGAGCTTCTATCAGAGTCGGCAACTCACTAGCCATCAAAGAACCCATACAGGGGATAAACCTTATAGATGCTGGGAGTGCGGAAAGAGCTTTAGTGACAGTGGCCACCTCACAAGACATAAAAGAACTCACACAGGGGATAAACCTTATAGATGCTTTGAGTGTGGAATGAGCTTTAGTCACAGTGAAACCCTGACTAAACATCACAGAACTCACATGGGAAAAACCTTATAAGTGTTTAGAATGTGGAAAGAGCTTCTATTGCAGCAGCCACCTTACTAAACATCAAAGAATTCATACAGGGGACGAATCTTACGAATGTTTGCAGTGTGGGAAGAGCTTTTGTCACAGTAGCTCCCTTACCCGGCATCAAGGAACTCATCCGAAAACATCTTAGAAGGGGTTGGAGTAGGGAAAGATCCTCAATCACATCAAGATCTACAGGAAGCAAACCAAAGATTGTGCTCAGTGTTAGAATTTGCTTCTTTAGCTTTGTTTGGTTTTAATCTTGCCTACCTCCCTCTTTTTAATCATAGGCTTTTTCTTGCTCTGAGGCCTTTTGAGTCCAGACTGCCTCCTAATGTCCACAGTTGAGCAGCAGCTATTTGTGTTAGATTTTCAGTCTGAACCTAGGAAGGTGAAGAGTGGGCTTGCATTAGACAAGGAAAGGGATATTGTGTAGATGAGGCAAAATAAAATATAGAGACACAAGCAGTTTCTGTCAGGACAAAGCAGCAATGCAAAAGTCAGCTGCAGGTGGCTGGAATGCAAAATACAATGTTGATGTCTGGGATTGTACTGTTGGAGAAAAGGTGGAGTCTTTTCTCTGTACTGAGCACCGGATGTTAGCTCAGTGTGTCATCTGACCTGTGCTGGAAGTGCAGGGCGGAGTTTGTGACTCTTCTAATGGAGTCTGAAGGGTACAGACACATTTCTCTGTACTGTTGAATAGCAGGAATAAAAGGTCATGTAAAAGGACCTCCTGGGGGGGAAAACTGAAGGAGAGAAAGCAGAGGGTGTGTTCTTCTCACATCTGATGAGAAGAATCGCTGATATACGACCTAGTCTGCCGGGGGTTGCAGACGGAAGGTAGACAAGTGTCTCGCTCAGCTGCCTCGGGGGAGGCCAGCTACCTCTGGCTGTGAGCTGAGATACTAACAGTTTCAAGTCCACCTTACAGTGTGCACATCAATCTCTGACTTTTGTCCTCTGGGTTTCCAGGGGTTTTCCTGTTGTTATTCTGCCTCTCACAGCTACAATAAACCTACCATTAAAATCATGGACTGGTCATTTCATCAGAGGGTAAATGGGCAAATTTAGCAGGGGATCAAATACTCCCCCCCCTCACTGTATATAAAAGCATCTCCTTTTATAGGGCTGCCTTCAGATGTCTTCCAAAGGTTATCAAGGTTACTCATCTCTTTGACATCTGATGATTGGGCATTCTACAGCGTGGATGCTACAACTGGGAGGGCCCTCTGCCTGGTTCCCTGTAGCTTCTCACATTGAAGGAACCACCCTTGGTGCTGGACCTCAGTGTTGAGTAATGGGAGTAATGGGAATGGAGATGTTCCTTCAGGTCTACAGGCCATGGCCATTTAGGGCTTTAAAAGGTCAGTATCGACAAGTTTGAAATTTGCTTGGAAACTTACTAGGTCTTTCAGGAGATATTTGGAGGAAAGAAGCGTGGAGCAGGAGGGGTTCACAATGTAGCCAGCAGACAGGAGGGGAGAGAAATGAATGGTGCTTTTCTGGTTGAAGAAAATTAAATTCACAGAGAGGATACAAAGTATGACTGTTGAAGGTGTGGAAAGAGATTTCCATATCATTCAGTGCTTATTTCACATCAGAGTGCACTCGGTATTAAAAACCATATAAATGAAGGGTGTTTTAATATATCTACAGGTATCTCTATCTCTGTGGCTCTGAACAAAATTTTTTTTCCTTCCAGTAGCACCTTAAAGACCAACTAAGTTAGTTCTTGGTATGAGCTTTCGTGTGCATGCACACTTCTTCAGATACACCACACGAAAGCTCATACCAAGAACTAACTTAGTTGGTCTTTAAGGTGCTACTGGAAGGGGGAAAAAATTTGTTTTGACTATGGCAGACCAACACGGCTACCTATCTGTAACTGGATCTGTGGCTCTGGTTAACCCTTGCGGAGCCGAGCGGCATATATATAGCCATCGGCTCCGCAAGGGTTAACCAGAGCCACAGAGCCGAAATTCCTAGAGCGGAAGGGAAGTCCGGTGCCAGAGGAGGAGCTTCCGCTTCCTGTCCCATCCGACCTCCCTTTTTTTGTTGTTGGGGGCGCTGGGTTTGCCTCTGTCCTCCCGGGGGATCTTCTCCGGTTGTTTCTCCGCCGGGAAAGCTGCCTTTCCTCCTGCCGCCTCCGGCTCAGATGCGGGAAGGGAAGGAAGGAGAAGGGAAGGGCTGGGACTCCCATAGGGCAGAAGAGGAGCCTCCTCGGAGGGCGAAGGCCAGGCGGACCCCGCGCAGCTGAACCCGAGAGAGTGAGAGAGAGAGTTTTTCTAGTAGAGAACGAAGGCCCTGCTCCCCTGCACTGAAAATATTTCATTTTAAAATAAATTGCTGGTCCTTAATAATGTGTCCTGGACAGTAGCAGCTGTAGTTCTTAAATGTTTTCAAAATATCTTAAGTTCTTCCTCAGAAAAGTGCCCCTCTGCACTGAAAATATTTCATAGAAAAATGTCGGTCCCTCAGAATGTATCTTGTCATTATTTTAACTCCTATTCAAAATATCTAAACCCTTTTCCAGAAAAGTATGCAGGTGGCACGCAGGTGAAAATAAAGATAGAATACAGCTAAAATTCACAGAACCATGCAAAAACTAATATACCATAAAGGCATTGGTTTTAAATAATAAATACTGTCTCTCTCTCACCCACCCACCCTCCCTTCACTCCTCTCTCTTGCCTGCTGTGAAAGGTGCTGGGCAGGTTTGCACATTACTTTGTGGCTCGAATCCACAACCTGAGATTAAGAGTTTAATGCTCTGCTGACAGTTATCTCAGCTGTCCAAGAGATCCATTCTGCCCTTCCCTATTGTTTTTCTGAGTAGACAAACATACGTTTGAAAGTTAATTTTTATATTAATATATTGTGTTTCCATATGCATCATTTCAATATTCTTTTAGTTATTTTTCCACATTGCCTCAGCGTGTAATGTGCTGCTGATTTCTGTTTTATAATCTTCCGCTTGGGCAAATCCGGAACTTCATTTTCAATGTTTTCATGAATTCTTTGGCGACCTTCCCTTTCACAGACACTGCAGTGGCGTCAGACCAACATTGTGGAATTTCCCTACATTACTCAGGAGAAGAGGTGGCCACCATGCGTCCAGCTAAGGTAGGGGAAAGATAATCAGGGAGAGATGTTGGGGATAGGTGGAGTGGGTCCGTACTTGTTACAGAGAGCGTTCTTGCAGGGGCCCAAATCTTGCACCTGTGCTTCTGAGGCTTCTGCCTCTGAGGAAGTGGGTTACTTGACTGAGTTTTGTTCATGAAACCTTGAACATGACCTAGGAAGAGTCTAGCTGGTGGATCAGGCCATTAACCCACCTAGTCCAGCATCCTATTCCCACAGTGACCATTTGTAAGCAGGAGCTGAATACAACATGCCTCTTCAGGTGATTCCCAGGAACTGGCAATGAGGAATATACTGCCCCAAACAAGTGGAGGCAGCGCACAGTCATCATAGCTGGTAGTCAGTTGTAACCTTATCTGCTATGAATTTGCCTAATTCTCTTTTAATTTGGTGACCATTACTGCATATTGTGTTAATGAATTGCTGAGTTTAACATTGTGAAAAGTGCTTCCTTTAGTTTGTCCTTAATCTGTGCACAATTAGCTTCATTGGACGGCCTTGGACTGCAGAAACACCTCCCTCTCTCCTATTTCTAAACACCATGAATACCTTTTTACATCTCTATCATATTTCCCCATAAGCCCCTTTGTTTCAGATTAGTAATTCCTCATATTTTTCCAACCCGTTGATTATTTTGTTTGTTCTTTTCCCAGCGTTTTCTGAATCTGCAATATTCTTTTTGAGGTCATGCAACTGGATCCATACAGTTTTATAAGGGCAGCTGCACCATAGATTTGTATATCAGCACTATGATATTGGCAGCTTGGTTTTGAATCTTTCCCTAAAACGGCATTGACCCATTTCACTACTTTCACACCCTGTGCCAATATCTTTACTGAGCTATCAGCTATGACAGTGTTTCCCAACCTTGTGCCTCCAGATGTTTTTGGCCTACAACTCCCATCATCCCTGACTAGCAAGACCAGTGGCAAGGGATGATGGGAATTGTAGGCCAAAAACAGCTGGAGGCACAAGGTTGGGAAACACTGAGCTATGACCCCAAATGTCACATTCCTTCTCAGTCATCACCAATTCAGATCCCATATGCAGATGTGTTAAGTTAGGATGTTTTTTGCTTGAAGGTGCACTATATAAATTTGCTTACGTACATTTGGTTATGTCATTGTCTTTCATAATGTTTTCCACCAGTTTCCCCCAAACAAACATGAAACTAACTAACCTGCAGTTTCCTGGAAACTAAATCCCTCTTGGAGGAAAGGAAACTGGGCAATCTCACAGACTCGTTACATGTTTTTGTTAGAATACTTGACTTAGAATTCTTAAACTAATGGGTAAATTCCATTGGCTTTGGGTGATTTCTGAACACTTAATATACCCAGTTGCCCATTGCAGAGGAGAGGTTTCCATACCTTACCCTGGATGGACTACGAATAAGGGAATTGTTTTCCTTTTCCAGGGATCAATGAGCTTTGCGGGGGTCTCCTTGCATTTCACTGATGAGGAATGGTCCCTGCTGGATCCAGGCCAAAGAGCGCTGTACAATGAAGTCATGATGGAGATTTATGAGATGGTGGCTTCTGTGGGTAAGGATCCTTTCCCCCTGGATCAATACCTAGTGAAGGTGTGAACTCCTGCTGGCCACTAGAGGGAGCGTTCTTCATTTCCTCTGTACAAAAGAACATATGAAGAACCCTGCTGGGTCAAAGCAAAGTTCTACATAGTCCAGCATTCAGATGCACACAGTCACACTCCTGGTATATGATTTTATAGACATCAAAGAAAAGACATATCGGTTAAGAGTTACTTGCCTTGATTCTCTTTTTTTCTGGTCACTGAGGTCTCTAGTCCTGATTTGGTGGGGTGTGAACTTGTTTTTTGGATAGAACTGTGCTTACAACTGCATGGCATGGAAATAAAGGCTGAAGGGGTCTTGTGTGTGCTGGTTGCAACTTACTGCTTTTGGGTCAGTCGTAGACTGCTTAATCACATAGCTTGCTTAGCAGTATACACGACAGAATGACGGTGTGGCAGATATTATGCATTACTATTCATTGCATTTAGTTGCTTTTTCATGAAAGGTCAACTCAAAAGCAAGTTATTATAGGATGCAAAAATTAAGCCCACTATAATTCTTTAAGGTAAAGGACCAAAGCCTGGCTGAAAAGAAATATTAATGCCTCCCTCCTAAAATTAGCCAGTGATTGGCTCCTGGGGAGCCTCCCTGGGCAGAGCATTGCCTAGGCGGAAGCCACCACTCCAAGCCCCATGCTTGTGTTAGAAGAAGGGCACAGTGAGAAGGACCTCAGATGATGAATGTAGGGTGTGGGCTGATTCCTGAAGAAAAAGGGAACCAAAGATGAAAACTAACTGGTAGTCAGTGCAATCCCTGTGGCAGGAGCAAGAAGCTTCATCCTTCCTTATACCACTGAGCCACAACTTAGCTGTTGCCCATGTTGGCTGGGGCTGATAGGAGTTGTATTTCTGCAGCATCTGGAGGGACAAAGATTCCCCATTCCTCTCATAAGAACTGGGTATTTTTAAAAACTTTTTAAAAATTATTTATTATAGAAAACCCTCTTTATCCACCCAAACTTGAGAAAGGGAAAGGTGAGGTATCTGTTGGATGAGGATGATATGTGGATGATGTAAAATAAAAAAAAGTACAGACACAAGCAGATTCAAGGCCACATTAAAGTCCAGTGTAGGCGGGTGTGCATTTTGCAGCATCTTACCAGCTTTTCTTTTTAAACCACCAGGAGATGTTTGGAGGATCCTGGCTGAGGGGGAACCCATCTGAAGGGCCACCTGAAAGAGCTGAGGAGCAACAGAAGTTAAGGATTCAAGATGGAACCAACAGACAAGAGGGCAGACGAACGCAGAAGGCGAGGAGGGAACCCACTGCTTCTCAGGTTAACGAAAATCAGATACCACACACAGGGGACAAACCTAAAGAATGTTTGGAGGGTGGAAAGAACTTCAGTGACAGAGCCTACCTTATTTTTCATAAAAGAGGTCATACAGCAGAAAAACCATATAAATGCTGGGAGTGTGGAAAAAGCTTCAGTCGGAAAGAACACCTTACTCTGCATCAAAGAATTCATACAGGCGAGAAACCTCATAAATGCAGGGAGTGTGGAAAGAGCTTCAGGCACAGAGACTCCCTCACTAGGCATCAAAGAATTCATACTGGGGAGAAACCTTATAAATGTTTGGAATGTGGAAAGAGCTTTATTCAGTGTAGCGTGCTCACAAGACATAAAAGAACGCATACAGGGGATAAACCTTATAGATGCTGGGAGTGTGGAAAGAGCTTTAGTGACAATGGCACCCTTACTCGCCATCAAAGAACTCACACAGAGGACAAACCTTATAGATGTTTGGAGTGCGGAAAGAACTTCAGCCGCATAAAGTCCCTTACTTTTCATAAAAGAAGACATGCAGGGAGAAAAGCATATGAATGCTCGGAATGTGGAAAGAGCTTTAGTGTGTGTAGCCAGCTCAAAAGACACATGAGAATCCATACAGGGGAGAAACCTTATAAATGTTTGGAGTGTGGAAAGAGTTTCAGCCGGAGTGGCCACCTTTTGCAACATCGAGGAACTCATACAGGGGAAAAACCTTATAAATGCTTGGCGTGTGACAAGCGTTTTAGTCAGAGTGTTCACCTTACTCAGCATCTAAAAACTCATACAGGGGAAAAACCTTATAAGTGTTCAGAGTGTGAAAAGAGTTTCAGTCAGAATAGTCACCTCACCATACATAAAAGAACACATACAGGGGAGAAACCTTATAGATGTTTGGAGTGCGGAAAGAGCTTCACAGTCAGTTCGTCCCTTTCTAAGCATCAAAGAATTCATACAGGGGAGAAACCTTATGAATGTTTGGTGTGTGGAAAGAACTTCAGTCGCTTAGATTCCCTTACTTTTCACAAAAAAAGGCATACAGGGGAGAAACCTTATAAATGTTGGGAGTGTGGAAAGAACTTCAGTGGCTCCCTTACTCAGCATCTAAGAACTCATACAGGGGAAAAACCTTATAGATGTTTGGAGTGTGACAAGACTTTTAGTCAGAGTGGTCACCTTACTCAACATCTAAGAACTCATACCGGGGAGAAACCTTATAAGTGCTCAGTGTGTGAAAAGAGCTTCAGTGGCTCCCTTACTCAGCATCTAAGAACTCATACAGGGGAAAAACCTTATAAATGTTTGAAGTGTGAGAAGAGTTTTAGTCAGAGTGGTCAACTTACTCAACATCTGAGAACTCATACCGGGGAGAAACCTTATAATTGCTTGGAGTGTGGCAAGAACTTCACCTACAGATATTCCCTTAACTCACATCAAATAATCCATAGAAGTGAAATATCTTAAGCTTGGAAGGTAGACAAATATATAGTGATCTCAAGAGCTCCTAAGCGAGCAAACCAAAGAGTCTACTCAGTGTTAGAATCCCCTTCCTTATCTCCAGTTTTTACAATAGACTACAGTAGACCTTTGGAGCCCAATATGCCTTCCATTTTAGAGGAGAAAGGGGCTTTTGCTTTCAACCTGTTTTTTTCAGTATGAAAGCAGATTGTGGGCATTCTTCTTTAAGCCAGTGTGAGGGATGGGCAGGGGTTTGAGTGATGGGTAGTGGAAGATTTACAGGGAGGTTCAGTGCCACCCGTGAGGCAAGAGGTGGTCGTCGAGGAGAGCCAAACTGAAGGCAGGAGAGGGGCTGCAGGAAGTCTCCGAGGTGGAAGAGAAGGTCCCAGAAAGAGTCCTGCCATTGGACTCTCCTCCATCCCCTCACCCTGTCTCCACTTACAATGGAGGGGCATTAAGCAATAGCAACAAGGACCGTCTCTTTCCATATGAAGATACCTGGACCCTGAGGTCATCTTCTGAGACCCTTCTTAAAGTGCTGCCTCCATTGAGAGGCCTGGAGTGTGGCAACATGAGAACGGGCCTTTTCTGAAGTGGCTCCCTGTCTCTGGAATATTTTCCTCAGGCAGGTCCACCTGGCGCCTAGGCACTAGGCAAAAGCCTTTCTCCTTAACCAGCTTTCTGGCTGATTGACATCTAATGCCCTTTTAGAATGTGGGGTGTTTTTTGGAGGGGGGTTGTTTTTGTTATGATTATATATTTCACATTTTTGGGTTGTGATTGTATCCTGAGTTCCTCCCATGGCTGGAAAGGGGTTCATTTAACCTTCCGTTTGCTAGTAAAACTGAATTACTTTGTCACAAAATGACATATGTCTAGAAATCATTTCACCAACATGAAAAGTTTGGAAAGCTCAGTGTTAGTAGAAGAACCTGAGGTCTCTTGTGAGTCTGTGCATTGGTATATGGTGGCCCCTGTTAGTCCACCATATTTTTTCTTTTAACATTAGCAGAAGTGTTAATTTATCCCTTGCTGATGTAACCTAGTTCTTTGCCAATAGAGAATTGAATTTCCTGTTGTTTGTCCACATTGGGCTGGGGCTCTGGGTTATGAACAAAAATTTAGTTAATTAATTAACACCTTGGAAGAGACCTTGCTTTTGAATCTTGTATGTATAAAATTTTATTGTTCCATATTTTTGCTTAGTTCCAGGTGGGGTTGCCTACTTCCCCATTTCAGTTTCCAAGCCTTTTTTTATCTGCATCTTACCTATAGGCTCTGATATTTATCTCTCATCTCTTCTGAAATTACATAATAATAATAAAATAGATTGATTCCTTGTAGCGGCTATGCTGCAGATTGTTCTTCTGAGTAAAATTTACATATCCATGTTCTAATTTATTTTGTGCACGTAATCATTTGTTACATACGCTGTTCCGTATTTCACCCTTCCCCAAGATTTATTCATGTGCTGTGAATTTTCCTTTGATGTAACCAGGCTGATATGCTTCATAGATGGAAATGCTTTACCTGGTAATCTGCTGACATACATTATATCTTTCCAAAGAGCGTAGCTTTCATGGACGAAAGGTCTCCCTCAGCCCCTGTCAGGAAGGCCAGAAATATTCTTGATATTTGATAGCTCCTCTAATTGTTTCATTGTCCAAGACATTGCTATTTGTTTCTGTTTCCAGTTGTCATGAAGTCTGGGTTGATTCTGTTTTTACTGCGTTTAGCCCCTTACGAATAAATGCTCATTAAAAACGGCCGTACCTTGGTTCTCGAATGGAATCCATTCCAGAAGTCTATTCGACTTCCAAAAATGTTCAAAAAGCAAGATATGGCTTCCAATTGGCTGCAGGAGCTTCCTGCACTCAATAAGAAGCTGTGTCAGACGTTCAGGTTCCAAAGAACGTTCGCAAACTGGAACACTCACTTATGGGTTTGCGACGTTTGGGAGCCAAAGCTTTCGATAACTAAGCTGTTCAAAAACCAAGCTACGACTGTATAATAAAACCTCAGGACTTTGTCAAGAAACCACAACAGGGTAGAAGGTTCATTAATTTTCCAGACTTTTTTACATGTTAGTTAATGGGACACAGTTTCAGACTGCATGCTTCTTCACCTTCATGAGGGTTTCAAGTTTTATCCTTCTGAAATGTCCAAACTAGGGGAGGGTTCTCGGTGGGATATATTTGTGCTGCGTGTGGTTCACCCACTTCCTTTGCCCTAACCTCCAGCCCAAGGAATCTTCAGAAGGGAGTTGCTGCCGAGGACATTATATGCTTTTTAATGAACTGAATAGAATGAAAGAACCTGCAGCACAAATAGAAGATAAGGGACAACTGACTTTCTAGCAGCGCACCTGAAAAGGATCCAGGAGCCTTAGTAAAACACAAGCTTAACACGAGTCAACCGTGTGATGCAGTAGGAGCAAAAAAGGAAATTAATGCTATTTTAGGCTGCATCCACAGAATTTGTGTCAAGGGAAGTAATTGTTGTTGTTTAGTCGTGTCCGACTCTTCGTGACCCCATGAACCAAGGGAAGTAATAGTACCACTCTATTCTGCCTTGGTCAGACCACACCTGGAATACTGTGTCCAATTCTAGGCACCACAATTTAAGAACTTTGACAAGCTGGAAAGCCTTAGGAGGAGAACTTGGAGCTGGGTATGTTTAGCCTGAGGAGGAAACTGTGAGGAGATATGATCTTCAAATATTTTAAAAGGCTATCACATGGAAGAGAGAGCAATCCTGTTTTCTCCTGCTCTGAAGGGTAGGACTTGAACCAACTAAACGTGAAGAACTTTATGACAGTAAGAGCTGTTGGACAGTGGAACGGTCTCCTGGTCTCCCTTGAGAAGTTGTGGACTCTCCTTCCTTTGCGTATTTTAAGCAGTGTTTGGCCGGTCACCTGTCATGGATGCTTTACTGAGATTCCTGCATTGCAGGGGGTTGGACTAGATAACCCCTGGGTCCAATCCAATTCTGAAGTTGTATTATCCTGATTCTAATGCTCATTCCTTTCAATTTGCTTGTTTTATTATATATTTTAAGTAAGGATGTTTTAAGGATGTTGAGATCAAATTATTGTGCATTTTAACATACAGTAGTACTTCGGGTTAAGTACTTAATTTGTTCTGGAGGTCCGTTCTTAACCTGAAACCGTTCTTAACCTGAAGCACCACTTTAGCTAATGGGACCTCCTGCTGGTGCTGTGCAGGAAGGAAAGTTCTTAACCTGAGATACTATTTCTGGGTTAGCGGAGTCTGTAACCTGAAGCATATGTAACCCGAGGTACCACTGTATATATATGTATTTTATATAGGTGTAAGCCTCCCAAACGTGACACTATTTGAGACATTGTAACTTGCTCATCAGCAATATAGGCTCCCACAGTGAGGGGAAAGGGGAAAAACCAAGGTACCCGTTGAGAACTGGTTCTCCTTACTGGTAACGTTCAGGGAAAGGAGGTGAAGACCTGGTTACATCTTTTTAGGATTATTTGCTGTATTTTAAAATAGTTATTCATATCCATATATTTTCACCATATGGAAGTTTAATGCCTCTTTAGTCTCTTTAATGGTAAAGATTATCTTTTCTACGATCTCAGACTCTTAATAATAATAATAATAATAATAATAATAATAATTGTATGGTACTAAGGCTGCCCATGGTCACTGGATCCTACATGGGGCACCTGCTGAAGGAGAGGATCGTGCACTCGGGCCTGATCCTGCAGGGCTTTCCAGACAAAACCGCGGCGCCTCTCCTCGCTCTCCGCCCGGAGCAGCCAACAGGTTACTGCTGATCGGCTCCGCGAGGGTTAAAGGGAGGCACAGCGCTGAGATTCCTAGAGCGGAAGGCGAGTCCTGCGCGAGAGGTGAAGGAGCTTCCGCTTCCTGTTCCGGGTCTGTCCTTCCTGTGGGAGGTGGCGGAGGGAGGCGGCTGCTCTGCCTGGAGGGGCTTCTGTCCGGATCCCGGAGGATCTTCTCCCATCCTTTCTCCGCAGGGAAGGCGGCCTCTCCTCCCGCCTCTGGGTCAGATGCGAGGAAGGAGAGACCGAGGAGGAGGAGGAGGGAAGAGCTGGGACTCCCAAAGGGCAGGAGACGTGCCTCGGAGGAGGAGAAGGAAGGCAAGGCGGACCCCGCGCAGCTCAAGCCGAGAGAGAAAAAGGTTTTTAAATAGAGAATCAAAAGTCTTCCTCTGCACTGAGAATATTTCATAGAAAAATGTCGGTCCCTCAGAATGTATCTACTAATTATTTTATTATTTTATTTTCAAAATATCTAAACCCTTTATCAGAAGAGTATGAAGGCGGCACACAGGTTAAAATAAAGATAGAGCACAGCTAAAATTCACAAACCCATCCAGAAACTATTATGCACAAAGGCCTCATTCTTAATAACAAAGAAAGCTAAATAACAAGTCCTGTTAGCCTTACAGTTCGTCGCTTCTTTCCTACCTCTCTGCGTCCCTTTTGCCTGCTTTGAAAGGTGCTGGACAAGTTTGCTTTTGACACACAAAATTTGAGGCTGCAGGGAGAGATCGTGGGGAAGGATTTTCAGAAATCTATTAGGTGTGGGCAATTTCTTTCAATTATAGTTTTCTCTGTGTGTCTCCTTTTCCCTAGTATTAAATTTAGTCACCCAGACATTGACATCTTAAGAAAAGAAAGGACCTCTTGCAAATTTGCCGGCATTTTAGTGCAGATTTCTACTAATGAACACATAGTTTCCCTAATATTTATATTTGTTCTAATATAATGCATTTCTGTATAGAATTTTCCTAAATTAATGCTTTTCTATGTGCTCTTTCTCTCTATCCGCTGGCAGAGCAAATCCAGATCTTTCTCCCTCTTTCCCTGCCACTGTCTACTACACAACCTTGTGTTTCCTTGTATCCTAAAAGAGCTGGGGGGGTCAAGGTACACCCTAAAACAATGGAAAACGTTATGCAGCTGTTCCTCATGTAACTTGGGATAATTTTACGTGGCTTGATTCTCTGTTTGGAATTTTCTGGATCCTATATCCTAGATACAAGATTTATCTCTAATACCACTTATCTAAGGCCTGCAATTTCACTCTGGATTGGTAGCTGGGTTTTTTTGTCAGTTCAGTGGCTGTGTATTTTGGTGGAGTTCAGGCAGGCCTATGGAGAATTCAGCAACGGTTAAATTGTAGATAATTTTAACCTTGCCTATTCGTTTTCTGAATAGACATACGTTTTAAAGTTAAGTTGTATATTTATAAATTTACAACTCCAGAACCATCATTTTCACATGCTGTTGCTTATTTCAACCTCATTTATGCTGCTGATTTCTGTTTGATATTCTTTTGCTCATACTTTTCATTGGTTCAAAGGTTTTTACTGGTCTTCTGTTGAGGTATTTAAAATAAATCTCTCCAAAACTCTAGCTTCTCAGGTCCTGTTTGATTGCCACTCTCTTGTGCATTGGGGCAAATTTGGAATGTCATCTTCAATGACCACCAGTTCCCTTTCACAGGCTGTGCAATGGCATTGGAGCAACACTGTGGATCTTCCCTGCTTTACCCTGGAGAGGAAGCGACCACCATGCATCCAGTTGAGGTAGGAGAAAGGTCATCAGGTAGAGATGTTGGGGATAGCTGGAGTGCGCCCTTCCTTGTAACAGAAGGACTGACGCTTATCCCTGTGTTTCGGAGGGTGCTGCCTGAGGAGGTGGGTTGGCTTGACTGAGATAGATAGATAATTTATTACGGTTGGAGACCAGCTTATAAAACACACTTGGGGGTACAATCCCAGAAGGAAAACAAACATTTAAAACAATGTACAATAAATTCAAAATTTATAAATGCAATAAGCGTATAGACACTTAAAACTTTAAGATAAGCTACGCAGAGAGATGACCCAGAGTCACCATGGAACTGAGTTTGGGGATTTTCTTAACGAACTAATTTGAGTTGGGAGATGGTCTGCGCCTACAGATCTGTACACAGAATCTGGCAACCATCTGGGTTGTCTTGCCTAACAGGAAAAGTTCAAATTTTTGCTTTTCCGGGAGGTCGGTAAGCCTCACCAGCAGGGGATCAATGGTCTCACTACATTCTTCTTCATAAAAGAACAAGTGCCCTGGGCTTCCTATATCCCCCAATGGACAGGCGCAAAGTCTCTGAGCATATGGGACCTTTTTAAAGGATCCTTCCAGGACCGGTGAGGGCAGAGCCGAGCTTCTGGCGAGTGTAAAAGCCCTTCTTGCATTTTTAGATACGAGAAAGAAGAGATATGCTGCCAGTGTGGCTATATATCTCTCAATTTCTCCAATTTTATAGTCGGAGCACCTTGAGCAGTCCTGTTGTCTCTCCGTGTCTAAGATTCTTGGCCTGACCGTAGCTTTTGCCTGGCCCAACTCCAGACTTAGAAGGGCTTGAGGGGCAAAACCCAGTTTCTGAAGGGTGTTCAGGACTGCTGTCTGCATATGCAGACAGTCATCATAGCTGGTAGTCAATCATAACTTTATCTGCTATGAATTTGCCTAATTCTCTTTTAATTTGGTGGCTACAGTGGTGCCTCGCAAGACGAAATTAATTCGTTCCGCAAGTTTTTTCTTCTTGCGAGTTTTTCGTCTTGCGATGCACGGTTTCCCATAGGAATGCATTGAAAATCAATTAATGCGTTCCTAGGGAAACCGACTTCAGACCAGGTCCGGGGACAGTCTGTCCCCCGACCTCTTCTGAAGGCTGGGGGGGGGACAAGGGCTTTTCTTCCCACCCCCAGCATTTTAAAAAACCCCGGGACAGCGGAGGGCTTCTCCGCTGTCCGGGGCGATCTTAGAATGCTGGCGGGTGGCATTTTAAAATCGCCCCGGGACAGCGGAGGACTTCTCCGCTGTCCGGGGCGATTTAAAAGCCCCTGGGAAGGCAGGCAGGGGGGACAAAGACTTTTGCCCCCCGCCAGCCTTCAGAAGAGGTCCTGGACCTCTTCTGAAGGCTGGCGGGGGCGAAAGTCTTTTCTCCCCCCCGCCTGCCTTCAAAAGCTGTCCGGCCAAGGCTTCGCGGACCTCTCCGCAAGCAGCGGCAGCGCTGCCGCTGCTGGCGGAGAGTTGCCGGCATGCCGAAGCCTGCGCGCGCTGATCTCGGCGCGTCCAGGCTTCGCGGATCTCTCCCCAAGCAGCGGGAACGTTCCCGCTGCTTGGGGAGAGTTGCCGGCATCCCGAAGCCTGCGCGCGCTGATCTCAGCGCGTCCAGGCTTCGCGGATCTCTCCTCAAGCAGCGGGAACGTTCCCGCTGCTTGGGGAGAGTTGCCGGCATCCCGAAGCCTGCGCGCGCTGATCTCAGCGCGTCCAGGCTTCGCGGATCTCTCCACAAGCAGCGGGAACGTTCCCGCTGCTTGGGGAGAGTTGCCGGCATCCCGAAGCCTGCGCGCGCTGACATCAGCGCGCCCAGGCTTCGCGGATCTCTCCTGCCTTCAAAAGCCGTCCGGGATAGCGGGAAGCGCTTCCCTGCTATCCCGGACTGCTTTTAAAATGCTGGCGCTGGGGAGCAAAGCCTTTCGGCCCCCGCCAGCCTTCCTGGACCTCTTCTGAAGGCCGGAGGGGGCGGGGAAGGTTTTGCTCCCCACCGCTAGCATTTAAAAGAGGTCCCCGGAGATTTCCCTATGGGCTTTCGTCTTGCGAAGCAAGCCCATAGGGAAATTCGTTTTGCGAAGCGCCTCCAAAACGGAAAACCCTTTCGTCTAGCGGGTTTTCCGTCTTGCGAGGCGTTCGTCTTGCGGGGTACCACTGTATTACTGCATGTTGTGTTAGTGAATCGCAGAGTTTAACATTGTGAAGAAGTGCTTCCTTTAGTTTGCCCTTAATCTGTGTACCATTAACTTCATTGGACGGCCTGGGACTACAGTATCATTCTAGAAGGAAAAACACCTTCCTGTCTCCCATTTTCCCATTCTTTGCATACCTCTGTACATCTCTTATCCTGCTCCTTCTTAAGCACTTTTCTTTCAAATTAGGAACTCCTCATATATCTCCAACCCCTTGCTTATTTTCTTTGTCTCCCCCCCAAAAAAACATTTTCTGGCTCTACATATTATTTTTGAGGTCAGGAAACCGAAACCATATTCAAATTTCTAAGGACACCTGCACCATCTGCATGATGTATATCTGCATGATGATATTGGCAGCTTCATTTCGAATCAGTTTACCGATGGTCTCTAACACAGAGTTGATCCATTTCACAACTTACACACACTGGGCCAATTTCTTTACCGAGCTCTCTGTCTCTCCTGCTCATTCATCACCAACTCAGATCCCATGAGTAGTCTAGTTAAATTAGAATCATTTTTCTTGAATGTGCATTACTTAAACTTGCTTACAAGTTTGAATTACAGTTGTACCTTGGTTGCTGAACGCATGGGAACTCCTACATTTTGACTACCAAACGATCAAAAACCAAAAATGAGTGTTCCGGTTTTTGAACGATTTTCGGAAACCGAATATCCGGTGCTGCTTCTACAGCTTCCAATTGAGTGCAGGAAGCTCCTGCAGCCAAGTGGAAGCCGCGCCTTGGTTTTTGAATGGTTCTGGGAGTTGAACAGACTCCTGGAATGCATTCTGTTCGAGAACCAAGGTACGACTCTACTTGCTTAAACACCTTGAATTACGTTTGCTGTTAGGTGTTCAATGTAATTTGAAGACATCCTGTTGGAGCTCTCCGCAATACTCTGTTGTGAACAGCTAGGTTGGCTACCTAGCTGTTCAGCACTGACTCCAGGTAATATATAAGCTATTTAAAAAGCACTCATCCCGATACTGATCCTTAGGGGCCTTCACTTCTAGCATTCCTTCCTTTGAGAGTTGGCCATTTCTTCCCATTCTCTTCTTTCTGTTCTTTAAGCCGTTGCTGATCCATAAGGCAGGCTCTCTTCTTATTCCATGACTCACCAAGACGTTGGTGAGAGACTGTACTAAAAGAATTTGGGTGCGCTGTCAGTTGCATACCGTCTAGACACACTCAAAAAAATCAAATGGCTCGTGAGTCACTCTTGCAGAAGCCATGCTGATTTGGCTTTAGCAAGGCTTGTTCTGCTATACATTTGGTTATCCTGTTGACTTTAATAATGTTCCCCATCAGTTTTCCTGAAAGAGACCTTAAACTAACTAAGCTGGTTTCTGTAAACCTTTTTTTTTTAATGTCACTACCTTTGCTTCCCTCTTGAAAGACAGGAAGATGGGAAATCTCACATATAAGCTACACGTTCTTGTTAGAAGATTTGACTTCTTTAAGAACTAATGTGGTGTTTCTCAAATTTGGGTCTTCACCTGTTGTTGGACTACAATTCCCATCATCCCCAGCTAGTATTACCAGTGCTCAGGGATGATAGGAGCTGTAGTCCAACAAAAGCTGCAGACCCAAAATTGAAAAACACTGAGCTAATGGGTAGATGAAATCTGCATTTGCTGATTTCTGACCACTAAAGGTAGAATCCATCTCCCATTGCAGTGGGAGTGGAGGAGAGATGCTGCCCACACCTTGCCTTGAAGTGTCTCCAAGGAAGGGGATTTTTTTCTTCTTCCAGGAATCAGTGAGCTTCGAGGAGCTGTTCTTTACTTTCACCAACGAGGAATGGGCCTTGCTGGATCCAGACCAGAGAGCTCTGTATGAGGAGGTCATGCTGGAGATTCATGAGATGGTGGCCTCTCTAGGTAAATATCCCTTTCCCCCTTAAATCAATAACTATGGAAGGTATAAATTCCTGTTGGTGGTACTATCAATTAGCTCACTAGAAAGAGTGTTGGGATTTTCCTCTGGGCAAAAGGACATTTGAAGAACCATGCTGGATCAAAGCAAAGGCCTATGTGGTCCACAATTCTGTTCTCACAGTAGCCCAACCAGATGCCCAGAGGAAGCCCAAAAGCAGGACATGCATCTGATATAGGCATCAGAGAATGGACACATTGGCTATGAGTTACTTACCTTTCTCGCCCTGATCTGGCCACAGTGATCCATGCGACGGTCACCTCCAACTCGCTCTACGCGGGGCTGCCCTTGAAACTCCAGCGGTCGCAGAATGTCGCGGTGAGGCTCCTTACAGGGTCCTTGCCGCAGGATCACATTCACCCAGTGCTTTACCAACTGCACTGGCTCCCGGTGGAGTACAGGGACAGGTTTAAGGTGCTGGTTTTGACCTTTAAAGCCCTATGCAGTCTAGGACCCTTGTACCTACAGGACCGTCTCTCCTGGTATGCCCCACGGAGGACCTTAAGGTCCACAAATGACAACACCTTGGAGGTCCCACGTCGCAAAGTGGTTAGATTGGTCTCAACTAGGGCCAGGGCCTTTTCAGTGCTGGCCCCAACTTGGTGGAACGCTCTGTCACAAGAGACTAGGGCCCTGCGGGACTTGACATCTTTCCGCAGGGCCTGCAAGACAGAGCTGTTCCGCCTGGCCTTTGGTTTGGACTCAGTCTGACCCTTATGTTTCCCTCCCCTTATGGTTTTGATCTGTGGGCTACTATTAAAATGAGGCTGCATTTTAAATTATATTTTAAATTGGTTTGTGTTTTTTTAATTGTAATTTTACTGCTGTTAGCCGCCCTGAGCCCGGCTCTGGCCGGGTATAAATAAAAGATGATGAAGATGATGATGATGCAAACCCCTGCAAATCTTATTTTGCCCCTGAGCAGGGTTGCTGCCAAGGGCCTCCTTGTGCCCATAAGACAGGTGTGCAGACCCCCTTGTCCCCTGCCAATACAATGCTGAATCACTGTTCTGAATCACCCTGTCTGTCCCTGGCCTTGTTGCTGAGGCTGAAGGGTGCTGCAGTTTAACAGCATCCTGAGACATTCAAAGATTATTCACTCCTGCCATAAAGACCAGACAATTTGTGTGCAGTTTTTAAAAGTCTCTAGTCCCTGTGGCAATATCAGGAAAGACTGGCAACTTTAAAAACCGCTTTATTTTGTTTCTCCACACTATGTTTCTGAATTTAAGAGAAGGAAGGATGGCCTACTGCTTGGATGAGGAGGATGTTCTGGAGATAATGTAAAATAAAATAAAAATACAGACACAAGCCGATCATCATCATAATAATAATTTATTATTTATAGCCCACCCATCTGGTTGGGCTTCCTCAGCCACTCTGGGCAGCTTCCAACAGAACACTAAAATACAATAACCTATTAAACATTAAAAGCTTTCCTAAACAGGGCTGCCTTCAGGTGTCTTCTAAAAGTTTGGTCGTTATTTTTCTCTTTGACATCTGGTGGGAGGGAGTTCCACAGGGCGGGTGCCACCACCGAGAAGGCCCTTGATTCAAGGCCACATTAAAGTCCTGTATGCGCAGATGTTTATTTTACCAGGTTTTCTTTTTAATCCACCAGGAGATGTTTGGGGGATCTGGACTGAGGGAGAACCGTCAGAAGTGGCATGTGAAATTGCTGAGGAGCAGGAGGAGCAACGGAAGCTGTGGGTTCAAGATGTTACCAACAGACAAGAGGGGACAGAAATGCAGAATGCTGGGAGGGAATCCACTGATTTTGAGATTAACGAAAATCAGATAATTCACACAGGGGAGGAACCTTATGAATGTTTGGAGCTCGGAAGGAACATCAGTTGCATAGACTACCTTACATTTCAGGAAATATGTCATACCGCCGAGAAACCATATAACTGCTTGTTGTGTGGAAAGAGCTTCCGTCAGAGTGGTCACCTTAGTTTGCATCAAAGAACTCATACGGGCGAGAGACCTTATCACTGCAGGGAGTGTGGAGAGAGCTTTAGGCACAGTGACTCCCTCATAAAGCATCAAAGAATTCATACAGGGGACAAACCTTATAAATGTCTGGAGTGTGGAAAAGAGCTTCAGGCAGAATATCCACCTCACTAGACACAGAAGAATTCATACAGGGGAGAAACCTTATAAATGTTTGGAATGTGGAAAGAGCTTTATTCAGTGTAGCGTGCTCACAAGACACAAAAGGACTCATACAGGGGAGAAGCCTTATAGATGCTGGGAGTGTGGAAAGACCTTCAGTGCTAATTGGTCCCTTTCTAAACATAGAAGGACTCACACAGGGGAAAAACCTTATAAATGTTTGGAGTGTGACAAGAGCTTCAGTTGGAATGGTCACCTTATACAGCATCTAAGAACTCATACAGGGGGGAAACCTTATAAATGTTTGGAGTGTGGCTCGAGTTTTAGTCAGAGGGGTCACCTTACTCAGCATCTGAGAACTCATACAGGGGAGAAACCTTATAATTGCTTGGATGGTGGAGACAGCTTCAGTCATATAGATTCCCTTAACTCGCATCTAACGAGTCATAAAAGGGAAACATGTTACACTTGGAAAGTAGAAGGAGATTCAGTGATCTCAAGAGTTCCTGCAGAGAGCAAATGAAAGATTCTTCTCAGTGTTAGAATTCCCTTATCTCCAGCTCTTACTTGTTCTGAGGCCTTTGGAGCCCAATATACCTTCCATTTTAGAGGAGAAAGGGTTTTTGCTTTCAACCTGCTTTTTCAGTAGGAAACAGTTTGTGGCCTTTTTTTTCTGGAAGGAGTTCAAGTGGTGGGTTGGATAGAAAGCGGAAGGTCCCAGAAAGAGTCTTGCCATTGGACTCTCCTCCATCCCCTCATCCACTTTCTCCGCTGACAACGAGGGGCATAAAGCAACAGCAACAAGGGCCTCAGAAGATGACCTCAGGGTCCATAAGCACTTACCTGGACCCTCTTTCCATAAGCACTTACCTGGACCCTGAGGTCATCTTCTGAGGCCCTTCATGTGCCTCTTCCATGAGAGGCCTAGAGTGTGGCAACAGGAGAACGGGCCTTTTCTGCGGTGGCTCCTCGTTTGTGGAATACTTCTCTCAGGGAGGTTCACACACTAGGCAAAAGCTCTTTAACTAGGCCTCAGGCTGATTGACATCCAATCCCCTTTAAAAAAAAATTGGGGGGGCGGGGTTTTTGTTTAGATTACCGTCTTTTTTGCTCTATAAGACTCACTTTTTCCCTCCTAAAAAGTAAGGGGAAAGTGCAAGATTCTCCGTGGTGATGGATAGGTTTTGAGATATAGTAGTACTCATGGCCCTCCCGGAATTCTTTGCCCAGCGTGAAGGGAGTGTAGCGCTGGAATTTCTCCAAAAACCGCTCAGGGCCGTGCAGGGCATCTGGCTTGTTGCACTCCCACCGGATCTGCTCCTTCGAGCGTGGTTTGCAGGTCTCATACTCCTCCTGCTCCACCAGGTATAGTGTGTAGCGTTCCATCGACTGAGGAGCCACGCTGCTGTCCTCGTAGTGTGGGCAGATGATGTCCAGGTAGTCGTTCAGCCGCACCTTGACGGCATAGCTATCCCACTGAAACTTGGGGTTGGTGCTGTTCCAAAAGACGGTGTGCCGCTCTCAAGGGGAAAGTGCATCTTATGGAGTGAATGCAGGCTGCACAGCTATCCCAGAAACCAGAACATCAAGAGGGATTGCTGCTTTCACTGCTCAGCGGACCCTCTTGCTGTTCTGGCTTCTGAGATTCAGAATATTTTTTTTCTTGTTTTCCTCCTCCAAAAACTAGGTGCGTCTTATAGATCTGGTGCGTCTTATAGAGCGAAAAATACGGTATATATTTTGTGTTTATATATTGTGATTTTATCCTGTGAACTGCCCTGAGACCTGCATGTATAGGCAGTATACAAATTTAATAAAATGATGAGTGTAATAATAAATAATAATAGCTGGAGCTGTCATACAAGAGAAATTGCTGGTTGCTTGTGCACACCAGATCAGGCGTGTTTGTGTAATTTTATAAATGAGTGCTGCTGTTTCCTCCACATCCGGATGTTGAGAGATAGAGTCCCAGGTACACTGCGTAACCTTGCAACAGTCAAAGGCCGGGTGTCTGCCTGCTGACTCATCCATTCTTTATCTCAGGAATGTATGTGCAGAGACATGTATAAAAGTCATTGCTGCATTGCATTCAGGTGGGGAGAAGCTATGAGAGTCTGTGAGCGGCTGTATCAAAGTAAAATCCAAAAAATCATGTGTACATAGAAAGCACACCTGAGCCCCTTAAAGAGGACAAGAATATCTAAAATTCTGCAAGTTAAATGCCAAAAGCATTGTTGAAAATAAATATTGTGGCCTCCTCAAAGTAGCCTCCTGGGGTGATGGGAGCCACCACTAAAAGTCCCATGCTTGCCACCTCTCTGCATCTCACTTGGAGGAATGCAGAGTGAAAAAGGCCTCAGATGATGAATGCAGGTTGTGGGCTGATCCTGAAGGACGGTTTTATATGCTCAGAGCATCATGCAGCAGTTGGTAATCTGGCCGCCACTTTCTGAGCCTTCTTCACAAAGAGCTTCACATATAATGTATTGCAGAAATCTAGTCAAGAGGTAGGTAGAAGAACCTGAGGTATATCGGCACACCTATTAGCACACCTTTCTTTATTTTTTAACGCTAGCAGAAGTGTTCCATATACCCCTTGCTGATGTAACTGAATGCTTTGCCAATAAAGAGCTGAACTTCCTATTGTTTGTGCACATTGGCCTGGGCTCTGGATTATGAACACAACATTATTTAATTATTAAAAAACTTTGAAGAGATTTATTAAGCTGGAACGTTTGCAGAGGAAGGCAACTGGGATGATGAAGGGTCTGGGAAACAAGCCTTATGAGGAGCGCTTGAAGGAGTTGGGTATGTTTAGCCTGGGAAAGAGGAGCCTGAGATATCAACTAAAATAGAATGGGGAAAATTTATTGATTATTTGAGGACACATTGTAAACAAAACGTTAGTGGGATTGATAAAAACACGTGCAGTAAGAGATAATTAAGGGGAGGATAAGGGGAAAATTATAAATTTATTTGAACTGGATATGCAGTAACAAAAAGATACGAAATAAATAACTGCAGAAGGGAGGGGAGGGAAGTCAAAAGTTAAAAATAAAATTTATTTTAAAAAAAAGAGTCCAGAAATGGGGCAGGGGCACAGGGTGAAAATGCAGGGGAACAGGACATCAATTGGTGGTCTCTGCCACCCTTGAGGCAGGAGATGGGTGGTGAAGGTGGGAGAAGTCTGGGGAATCAGGTGGAGAGGAATTTCAAGGAGGCTCAGAGGCGGAAGACAAAAGTCCCAGATAGAGTCCAGCCATCACAGTCCCCTCCATCCCCTCCCACATGGTCTCCATGGTCAAGGAGCGGCTTAAAGCAGGAGGAACAGCTGGAGTTGTCATGCAGGAGAAGCCGCTGGTCCATCGGGTCACGAAGAGTCGGGCACGACTAAACGACTAAACAACCACAAGACCTAAAAATTCTTATAACAGTATTTTATTGTTCTACACTGGTCGTGCAGCTATTTCAACAAATGGTAGTTTAATTATAGTTCCACAGACAACAGTATCACTTAACCTCCAGATTCCAGCATCGTCTTATATTGGTATTCCATCTTTCTGTTATGAAAATGTCGCAGGACCTGCATTTTTCACTAGTACCACCCACTGCGGAAAGGATGTATAGATTTGTCACACACACACACACACAAAAAAAAAAAATAAAGGGAAAAAAATAAAAGCATTCCCCTGAAAGTCTGACATTTTGTTTTAGAAGGGGAATTTTTTATTTGGCCTGATTCAATGGTCATGCCTTTCAACTTGCTTGCCTTTTTGTATATTTTATTTGTATTTTGAATTTTTTATTTGGCCTGATTCAATGGTCATGCCTTTCAACTTGCTTGCCTTTTTGTATATTCGAACTAAGGAAGTCTTAATGTTGAGATGAGATGGTTATTGTGTATTTTAACACGGTAGGTATGTATTTTATATAGTTATAAACCACCTAAACGACATATTCTTTATTAACTTTGAGCCTTTGCAACCTGCCCCTCAGCCAAAAAGGCTCCCAGAGTGAAAAAAGAAAGGGGGGGGAGGGGGAGGTTCCCGCCTGTCGGCTCCGCAAGGGTTAAGCTGCGCCATAGAGCTGAGATTCCTAGAGCTGAAGGAGAGCCGCCGCCAGAGGCGGAGCTTCCGCTTCCTGTCTCTGGTATTACTTCCTGTGTTAGGCGCTGGGTTGGCGGAGGAAGGCGGCTGCTTTTCTTGGAGGATCTTATAGACTCCTCCCAGAAGATCGCCTCTCCTCCTTTCTCCGCAGGGAAGGCCGCCTCTCCTCCTGCCGCCTCCGGGAGAAGGACCGAGGAGGAAAGACAGAGGGAGGAGGAGGAAAGAGCTGGGATTCCCATAGGGCAGAAGAGGAGCTCAATCAGAGAGAAAAAAGGTTTTGCAATAGAGAACAAAAGTGCTCCTCTGCACTGAAAATATTTCATTTTAAAATAAATTGTTGGTCCTTAGGAATGTATCCTGGACAGCTGCAGCTGTAGTTATTTTATATTATTTTCAATATTTCTAAACCTATTTTTTTCAAATAAAAAATATCCCACAAGTGGAATGCAGATGAAATTGAAAGAGAGGAACTGGTCTGTGACCGTAATAATAAATTCATTCATTAAAAGAGAGAACGCAGCTAAAATTCACAGGCCCATGTGGAAACCAATATGCCTAAAGCCATCATTTCTAAAAACAAAAATAGCTAAGTAATAAATACATTTGCTCCCACTGTTCTTTGCTTCTTTCCTCCCTCTCAGCTTCTCTTTTTGGCTGCTTTGAAATATGCTGGGAGATAGTATGCGAAAGGGTTTTTTAAAAACCCAATAGGCATGGGCAAACCTTTCAATTTTAGTTTTATCTCTATGTCTCATTTTCCCCAGTTAAATTTAAGTTGCTTTTAGTTGCCCACATTTTGACATATTATGAAACAAAAGGACCTCTTGAAAAATTAGTTAGCATTTAAGTTTCAATTTTCCTCTTATATTTGCCCTAATGTAATGCATTTCTGTATATAATTTCCCCTAAAATCATGCATTGCTGTGTGCTCTTTCCCTTTGAACAGGTGTAGAAAATCTTTTATCACCCAGCAGGGCAGATCCAGATCTTCTTTTCTCCCCACACTCAACTGTAGACCAACTTTGGTGGGTGGGTGACCTTCATGGGGTCAAAGAATGCAGCCTAAGAATGGAAACCTTAACTTACAATATTTTTCTTCTGGCCTGTTTTTCTGTTTGAAATTTTCTGGATCCTATATCCAGGATACCAGATTAGAGTCTAGTACCACTTATCTAAAGCCAGCAGTTTCACTTTGGACTGGTAGCTGTGTTTTTCATGTCAGTTAAATGGCCGTGACTAGATCAGCTGGTGGAGTTAGGACAGGCCAGCATTGATTAAGTTGTAGATAATCATGACCTTGCATATTCTTTTACTGAGTAGACATAAGTTGTATATTCATATTTTGAATTTCCAGAACCATTGTTTGCATATGCTGTTGTTTATTTCCCCCTCATTTCTCCACGTTTTCTCAGTGTGTAATGTGCCATTGGTTTCTCTTTCGTAATATTGCAGTTGGACATTTGTAATGCATTTACTGGTCTTGACATATTTAAAATAAATCTCTTCAAACACATGTTACGCCAGGCACAGGCAAACCCCAGCCCTCCAGATGTTTGGGACTACAATTCCCATCATCCCTAGCTAGCAGGACCAGTGGTCCGGGATGATGGGAATTGTAGTCCTAAACATATGGAGGGCTGGAGTTTGCCTATGCCTGTGTTACGCTTTCAGGGCCTGTTTGCTAATTTGGGCAAATTTTATCTTCAATGTTTTCATTCAGCCACCACTTCCCTTTCACAGGCTGTACAATCTCATCTGAGCTACACTGTGGATCCTCCCTACGTTACCCTGGAGAGGAAGCGACCACCATGTGCCCTGCTCAGGTAGGGGAAAGATCATTGGGGGGAGATGTTGGGGATAGCTGGAGTGCGTCCTTCCTTATTACAGAAGGACTCTTTGCAGTGGCCTCTGACACCTGTGCTTCTGAGGAAGTGGGTTGGCAGCTTCGTTTTTCTGTATTTCTTATTGCCAGCAGGGAAACCTATAGTTTGTTCAATGTTTTTCTAATGGTCTTCTCGGTAGTGGCGCCCTCCCTGTGGAATGCCCTCCCATCAGATGTCAAGGAAATAAACAGCTATCTGACTTTTAGAAGACGTCTGAAGGCAGCCCTGTTTAGGGAAGCTTTTAATGTTTGATGTTTTATCGTGTTTTTAATCTGTTGGGAGCCGCCCAGAGTGGCTGGGGAGACCCAGCCAGATGGGTGGGAAAGAAAGAACGAAGGAAAGACAGATGTTTTATTGTATTTTTATGTTTTTTGGGGAGTTGCCCACAGTGGCTGGGGCAACCCAGTCAGATGGGTGGTAAATAATAATAATAAATAACAACATCATTTCGTTTGTCCTTAATTTGTCCACATTTAGTCTCATTGGATGGGCCTGGATTATTATTATTATAATTATTATTATTATCACAGAGGATTGATAATATCTCTCCCTTTTCTTTGCGCTATGCATAACTCTGTACATTTAAATTAGAAGATCTTTTTATTTCTTCATCTCCTTGATTATGTTGGTTGCTCTTTTCCCAGCATTTTCTGGGTCAGCAATTCTGTTTTTGAGGTCAGGCAACCAGAACCATACAGTATTGCAAAGGCAGATGCATCATAATTCGTATACCTGCACAACGATATTGGCAGCTTTGCTTTGAGTCCTGTCCCTAACACGGAATGGACACATTTCACAGCTTCCACAAATTGTGTCTTTGCTGAGCTATCTGCAGTGGTGATTTCTGAGAGCGGCAGCTAAAATCCCCACTTGTCCCATTGGCGTGTGTGTGGAGGGGAGATGCTTTCCACACCTTGCCTTGGAGTGTCTACAAGGAAGGGAATTGTTTTCTTCTTCCAGGGGTCTGTGAGCTTCAAGGAGGTTACCGTGAATTTCACTGACGAGGAATGGGCCCTGCTTGATCCAGGTCAGAGAGCTCTGTATGGTGAGGTCATGCTAGAGATCCGTGAGATGGTGGCCTCCCTGGGTAAGGATCCTTTTTTCCTTAATCAGTAGCTACGGAAGGTATGGGTTCCTGTTAGTGGTACTATCAACTAGCTCACTAGAAGGAGTGTTGTTAATTTCTCCTGGAGAAAAGAACATTTGGTTCAGAGCAAAGTCTTACTTAATCCAGGATTCAGTTCTCACAGTGGCCAGCCAAATGCCCATAGGAAGTCCACAATCAGGACTTGCCTCTGATATAGTTGTCCTGGGCTTATTGGCTTGAGTTACCTCGGGATGCGAACGGGATCTGGTGGTTCCCTCCCTGCGAGAAGCCAAGTTTCAAGGAACTGGGCAGAGGGCCTTCTCGGTAGTGGCACTCACCCTGTGGAACGCCCTCCCCCCCAGATGTCAAAGAGAACGAATACCAGACATTCAGAAAACATTTAGATGGCTACCAGACATTTAGAAAACATCTGAAGGCAGCCCTGTTTAGGGAAGCTTTTAATGTTTGACGCACTATTGTATTTTAATATTTTGTTGGAAGCCGCCCAGAGTGGCTGGGGAAACCCAGCCAGATGGGCGGGATATAAATAATAAGTTGTTGTTGTTGTCATATGACAGGTGTGAGGACCCCTTGCCCTCCCTCAGACGATGTGGATGGTACTTGTAGTTCAGTAACATGGAGAACCAAAGGTTCCCCATTGAAGCGGCTACTTTGATGAAAAGGATGTTTTGTGGATGGTGCAAAATAAAGAAATACAGACACAAGCAGTTTCAAGTCCACGTTAAAGTCCCATTTGGGCAGATGTGCATTTATACAGAAACAGCATTTTACCAGTTTTCCCTTTTAATCCACCAGGAGACGTTTGGGGGATTCTGGCTGAGGCGGACCCATCAGAAGTGCCGCCTGAAACAGCTGAGGAGCAAAGGAAGCTGGGGGTTCAAGATGGAACCAGCACACAAGAGGGGAGACAAATGCAGAAGGCGGGGAGTGAATCTGCCGCCTCTCAGGTTTACGGAAATCAAATCACCAGAGAGGAGAGGAAGTATGAATGTAAAGTGTGTGGAAAGATGTTTGCTTCTTGCTCAAGGCTTACTTCACCTCAGAGACTGCGCTCAGGTGAAAAACCACACGAATGCAGGGAGTGTGGGAAAAGCTTCAGTCGGAGTGTCCCCCTTGAGCTCCATCAAAGAACTCTTACAGGCGGGAAACTGTATAACTGTTTGGAGTGCGGGAAGAGCTTCGGTGACCGTAGCAGCCTCACTAGACATAAAAGAACGCACACCGGAGAAAAAGCTTACAAATGTTTGGAGTGTGGAAAGAGCTTCAGGGAAGGTTACTCCCTTACTCAGCATCAAAGAACTCATACAGGGGAGAAACCCTATAAATGCTTGGAGTGTGGAAAGAACTTTGGTCGCCTAGGCTCCCTTACGTTGCATCAAAGAAGCCATACGGGAGTGGAAACTTACGTATGTTTGGAATGTGGAAAGAGCTTCTATCAGAGTAGGCACCTCGCAAGACATAAGAGAACCCACACAGGGGAGAAACCTTACGGATGCTGGGAGTGTGGGAAGAGCTTCAGTGACAGTGGCTCCCTCACTAGACATAAAAGAACTCACACAGGGGAAAAGCCTCACGAATGTTTGGAGTGTGGGAAGAATTTCAGTCGCAGCTGCAACCTTACTTTGCATCAAAGAAGTCACACAGGGGAAAAGCCTTATGAATGTTTGGAATGTGGAAAGAGCTTCGTTCGGAGTAGTCACCTCACTAGACATAAAAGAACTCATACAGGAGACAAATGTTTGTATGAGTGTTTGGAGTGCGGAAAGAGCTTTAGTCGCAGTAGCTATCTTACTCACATCTTAGGCTTGGAATGTGAAAAGACAATGATTAGTCCTACCAAGAGCTCCTACGAAGACCAGGGCAAATACTGTGCTCAGTGTTAGAATTCACTACTGTATCTATGGTTAATTTTGTACTGTATTTGCTTAACTCTAGTTTTTTGCTTGGTCTGAGCCCCATTTGCCTTCTATTGTGGGGGAGAGAAGGGTTTTTGCTCTGACCCTTCCTGTTCAGCCAGTGTCCCTAAGGGGCAGGAGTCCGAGCAGTGGGCAGGGAGGCAGGTATTGATAGAGGCGAGCGAAGAGGAAGAATAATTATATAAAAAAGAACAATGATAACAACAGATGAAAAAGGTGAAAAACAAAAGCATAAGATAGGCATGCAGACTGAGTAGTGGCACATGCGTTAAAATAGCAAAGACCAAGTAAAGACTATCACTTTTATCAGATCATAATGTACAGTTCCAGCTTTGCCAGGCAAGTGATGAGGGTTTCCTTGAAAATGAAATGCTAAATCATATTTTTAAATGTCTGGACATTCTAGTCCTTTTCAAAATTATGAGGAACTTTCTCCATTTTAGCTATATTCCAGAGTGAGTGTAAGCTTTTGGGTTGTTTTCCCTTGTGTTTTAATTACTTTGTGATGCCCAGATCCTATATAAGGCCAATTATTTTGACATTGGTATCATCAAAAATATTCTGTAACATTTTGGACAATGAACAATAGCTTCTCCATTAATAGTTATCATTTCTGTCAAAATTGAATTCCAAAAATCTTGCACTAACTGACATTCCCACTATAAGTGATAATACGTAAAAAGTTTATTTCAAACCCTCCAAACAATTTCATTATGCAGAATAAAACATTTTTGACATTTGCAAATAAGCCCTGTACCATCTGTGTAAAAATAAGGCATTTTCCCTAAGAAAACTGGAAACCAGTTTTAAGGGTCTAATCTGATTTTACAAGTATTTTATCATTCCCACACTGATCATGTAGATACGTTAACTAATGATATTTTTAATCAAAGTTGAACACACGTCCAAGTATCACCTAACCTCCAAATTGCAGCCTAGTCTTATTCTGGTATTCCATTTTTCAGTTATGAAAATGGAAGTGTCATAGTGGCAGAAAGGATGTGAGGGGAGACAGTCTTTGTGCTGAGCACCTCCATCGCAAGGAACATCATGTGCAGGTGTATTTTGATACATTAAATAGAATGAAGTTTATGAGTCATAGAGGAGGGGAGAGCACACGTACAAATTCAACACTCTGTTCTGTTGCTGTTCAGTTAATGTTGTTAATACTGTTTTACAGATATGGATGCTGTCGTACTCTGTGAATCCTATAATATGATTCTTGGTGTAACTGTGATGTTTAGCTTATTTTTTAGTTGTTTTGTTAATAGTGTTACATAGATGGTAATTGTTTTATTTAAGATTTGTGATTGTTTTACTGATGATATGTAAAGTATTCTATATGATTTATGCTGTGATGTTCCATTATGTTATTTTTATCTTTCGTTTGTAAACCGCTTTGGGATTTATTTGAATAAAAAGCAGCATAGAAATAGAATCGATCAATTTGTAGGACATTATGCTGATCTTCTGACTTTTTGTTATACGTGGGATTTTGTTGTTGTTATGTTCAGCTTCTTTTATTGGCCATGCCTTTCAGCTTCCTTGTTTTATTTAGGGTTGCCATATGACCCATCTTCCTGTCTCCCACGGAGGCCGTCCTCTAGAATGGGTGCTCCCAGATGACAGCTGAGGCAGAGCTTGCATTTTAGCATGTAAGGGGGATGTGAATGGTGATGATGATCTAATTTAATATTATGAGAGCGCTCCAATTGGAGAACAGCCTTTGACAAAGGTGTCGTGGACTTTGAAGACGCTGGAACTTGGGATGAAAGGGAGAAACATGCTAAGAGGGAGGCACGTTTGGTAAACCCTCACCGTGATCAACTCCCGCCCAGAAACCTAGGTCCCCACTGTGGAAGGATGTGTAGATCCAGAATTGGCCTCCACAGTCACTTATGGACCCACTGATCATGTTCATGGAAGACAATCTTACTTAGCTGTGTATGATTGCCAGAGAAGAAGAAACATCATCAAAATTAGTATATTGCCCTTCATTTGTAGATCTCAGGGCAGTTCACAGCATAAAACCACAATGTTGGTTGCTGGAAATCAGGCTTCTTAACGTCCAGATTGCATATCTGACTCCATTCGGGTTTCCCTTGGCTCTGCATCGTGAAACCCAGGAGAACAGGATCACTTTCTCCCAAGGGTCCCAGTGCTTCCACTTTGTGTCTCAGTTCCTCCGTTGGTGAGGACCAGGTCCAAGAGGAAGGACCCCCTTGTTGCTTGTTTTAATGATTATTCATGGGCGTAGCCCATGAGTTCCTGCCCCCCCCCCAACAAGAATCCTGGCTAAGCCCATGTGAGCATTAGCTATATTTTAAAAGAGTTCTGTATATATTTTCTCTATGGGGATTTAAGGGCTTTGTAATCATCATGTTTTATATGATCTCAGCTTTTTCAGTAAACCGCTTTGACTCCCAATATGGGGGGAAAGGCGGGGCACAAATAAATAAATAGAACGTTAATAATATAGATGTTGATTCTGTGATACAAAGACTGCCCACGGTCACTGGGACAACCAGTCCTTTGGGGCTAGGGTTTTGGAACAGAAATACAGTCGTACCTTGGTTTTCGAATGGAATCCATTCCGGAAGTCCGTTCGACTTCTGAAAACGTTTGCAAACCAAGGTGCAGCTTCTGATTGGCTGCAGGAGCTTCCTGCGCTCAATCAGAAGCTGTGGAAGCCCCTTCGGACATTTGGGTTCCAAAGAGTGTTCGCAAACTGGAACACTCACTTCCGGCGTTGCAGCGTTTGGGAGCCAAAACGTTTGAGTCACAAGGCATTCAACAACCAAGATACGACTGTATAATAAATAAAAAACCAACTAGGAGCAGATCTTGCCTTTGTATCACACACACACACACACACAGACACACAGTGGTACCTTGGGTTAAGTACTTAATTCGTTCTGGAGGTCCGTTCTTAACCTGAAACTGTTCTTAACCTGAAGCACCACTTTAGCTAATGGGGCCTCCCGCTGCCGCCGCACCACCACTGCACGATTTCTTTTCTCATCCTGAAGCAAAGTTCTTAACCTGAAGCACTATTTCTGGGTTAGCGGAGTGTGTAACCTGAAGCGTATGTAACCCAGGGTACCACTGTATCTCAAATGTTCTTGTTTAGTATTTTTGCTTATTCCCAGGCGGGGTTTCTAACTTCCCCATTTTAATTGTTCAGTCTTTCCCCATCACCTCTGTTTTTTTACATCCTACCCATAAGATCTGACATTCATGGGAACATCTTGAGCTGCTTGGATTCTCTTAGAAATAAATGCTGCTTAAAAAAAATGTGTAATAAACCTCAGGACTTAGTCAAGAAGGTAACCGCAACAGGGCAGAAGGTGCATCAATTTTCGAGACTGTTTCCATTTTTGTGTGTTGATGGTTCCCTGGTTCACTGTAGGTCTCGTCATCTTTATCCTCGCACAACAGCTTTCAATTTTTGTGATTCCGAAATGTCCAGACCAGGGATTGGTGCTATGTGAGGTTCCCCCAAATCATCCCATCTATTAGTATTTCCCCCACCGAGCATACGTTCTGGAAACCTGAAGTCCACTGTGCACCTATGCGCAGGTATTTGTTTATCCCATAATCTAATAAAGTCCAACCTCACCCAGCACACAAATGGGGGGGGGGGGTTGAAATTCAGCCTTTAGATAAATCAGATTTGCACAGAAGAGCAGGCAAAAAATGGGAAAATATGTTTGTTGTTCTATGCTGGGCACAGATTTGGAATTACTCAAATAAAAGGCTGCTGTTTCCTTCCCTTTCGTTTCCCAGTTTCTAAAGCTGCAGATAAAACCTTATAAATGTTTGTAATGTGGAAAGAGATTCGTTCTGCTTTACATAACATTATCTATCATCTATCTATCTATCTATCTATCTATCTATACATGGGAAGCACTCGGAGCAGACAGGACATAAACACACCAACAAATGTAATAACAAATACTGCCATTTAGCACTACCTGGTAAATGGAATCTGAACCACAAATATAGGAACTATACAAATTATCCATCTGTGATCTACCAATGATCTAATGTATCAGTCCCAGAATCTATGCATTTTCTCCGCAAAAGTGTTGCCTCTTTTTAAAATCTAGGTTACCTCTTAAAGGTAACTTAGCATGAGCATATGGATCAATTTGTAACTAACAAGACAATATAGATAACTGAAATTGGCACAGGATCGTTCTTTTTTCTTTTTTTACATACCTAGACTCATCCCAAAAGGGGTGTTAAGTACGACACCTCTGTGTTTAGTGTGCTGGGATACTCTGGGAGAAAGAACCAATTGTTTGTGTGTTCTGGCAAATATGCCTCACCGGTACAGACTGATGTCTTGAAAAATTGAATCCTCCTTCCAGTATAGGCGACAACATTTTTTTTAAGTGTTAAAGAATGTGGAGAAGTACCCCAAATAAAAGTCTGAAATAATGCATCGATCCTTTTAAAATATGCTTGGGGGACGTTTGGAAACGAACATGCCACCGTGGGCTCCTATTTAATAAATATTGTGTGCCGGATTCAGCTAAGTAGTTGCACTAGGAGGATCCAGCTCAAGTCCTGTAGTACAAAGGGTCTTTCCCCTTTCATTCCCACCCCTCAAAAAAAATGGCTCTGGGGAGATCAGGGGAAACCCCAGAACAGTGTGCAAGGGAAGGGAGGGTGTCATTTCACATGGGAAGCAGAAATGTCGTGTTTCAGAACACAACACTGAATTCCATCCATTATTTGGGGTGGGGGGTATTTGGGGAGGGATGGTGCCTCTGGTGGGGGACATGTCTCGCTCCTTATGGGGTAGTTTGTCCACCTTTGGTCCCCAAACTGCACTCAGCTCTCACCTGTGGCTCCTAGAAGCTGTCAGCAGCCACCCCTGGGGAAATGACTTCACCTGGCCAGCTAAACCAGGTGAGAGGAGCCGATGGGTCTCAAACCCTTGGTGAGTTAGGGGCTTCCCCTACATGTGAAGACAGGCTCTGGAAGATGGAGCGTTGAGACCAAGAGGGGAGCCAACAGTCAAGGTTTCTGCACATGTTGCAGGGGGAAGTGAGAGAAGAAGAAGAAGAGTTTGGATTTGATATCCCGCTTTATCACTACCTGAAGGAGTCTCAAAGCAGCTAACATTCTCCTTTCCCTTCCTCCCCCACAACAAACACTCTGTGAGGTGAGTGGGGCTGAGAGACTTCAGAGAAGTGTGAATGGCCCAAGGTCACCCAGCAGCTACATGTGGAGGAGCGGAGACGCGAACCCGGTTCCCCAGATTACGAGACTACCGCTCTTAACCACTACACCACACAGGTGGGGCTTGTCCATCTGGGAAGGGAGACCATCGAGGAGAAGGAAGACTCTCATCCTAAACCTCCGCTGCCTTGTGGGATACCTTCAGGAGAAGAAAAGGTATCGGGAGCAAACCCTACATGAGTCCAGAGTGGAGTCCCGAAGATGGTTGGATGGCGCCTTGTACGCCTTCGGGCAACGTCTTGCTCTGCTTTCCTTTGAACCCCATCAGCGAGGCCAAGAGGGGGGTCTTGTCATCTGGGCAGCCCAGGACCTCCAGACACACTGCCCAGGCTAGTGCAGCAGTTTGACTTCACCACAGAGATGCACCCCATTGTCTCTTGAGACAGCTCGTGTTTTTCTATTCCGCCGCCAGAATTAACTAACTGAGCAAATCTATTCCTTCCGGTAGCACCTTAAAGACCAACTAAGTTAGTTCTTGGTATGAGCTTTCGTGTGCAAGCACACTTCTTCAGATGTATCTGAAGAAGTGTGCATGCACACGAAAGCTCATACCAAGAACTAACTTAGTTGGTCTTTAAGGTGCTACCGGAAGGAATTTTTTTGTTTTGACTATGGCAGACCAACACGGCTACCTATCTGTAACTGAGCAAATCTAGGATGCTTGTGTTATGACTTGGGCACAGTCACTCTTTTTCCTTGAAGCTTCACTTAATTGTCACAGGATTTTCTGCATTTCCTTTCCATCGAACCTCAATATTTTGATTTTTCTTTGTACACCCAACATGTGTATACAGGCAACTCCCCATTTGATATGATAATACGATACGATCATCTTTACTGTCATTGTCCCATACAGAACAACGAAATGGAAAAAAAAATCTACATAAGACATTCAAAACCAACAAGCCTGCTATCCCAGCTATCCCAACCTGGTTAGATCCCTAAAAACTCTTGATACCCCATTTTTAAAATACAATATACTCCCATAGAGACTCCTTACACTGCATTTAAAACCAAAATCGCATTTGGATAGAAACTGTTTCTCAGGTGGCTAGTCCTAGTCTTTATAACCCTGGACCTTCTTCCAGAAGGCAGAAGCTGAAAGAGATCATTTCCGGGGTGCGCACTGTCCTGCGCTATCTCTGCAGCTTTCTTGTGACACCTGGAAGCATAGATTTGATCCAAGGTGGGAAGAGGGAACCCAGTTATTGTCTCTGCAATCTTTACAACCTTAGACAGCATTGTTTTTCCCCTGACCGTGCAGCTCCCAAACCATACACACAGACCACGTGTTCAAAGCAGGTGTATACCATTTTAGAAGTGGGTGCAACTGGGTGTGGTGGGCTTACCTGTGCACCATTGACATGCACGATGACCTGGAATGGAACACCCACAAAAATTGGGGGGGTGCACAAATTGGGGGAGCGCCTGCTGACCGAGATAAAACCATGTAGCTGATGATGTGAACTTTAGGCCATAAAAGCTTATGCCTCAATAAATTGGTTTCAGTCTTTCAGGCGCCAGAAAAGTCTTGCCCCTCACGGCTACCCTAATTCTTGAAACTAACAAATGCACATCAATACAGACATTTATACCAGATACAGCTAACCATCTTCACTGATCCACTGATACGAGGTAAGGCTGCCGAAGCTTTTCTCACATTCCACACGTTTACGTCGCTTTGCCCCTGTGTGGGTTCTCTGATGTGTATTGAGATTCCCTCGACGACTGAAGCTTTTCCCACATTCTGGGCATTCGAAAGGTTTCTCCCCTGTGTGGGTCGTCTGATGTCTGTGAAGGCTTCCGCCCGTGCTGAAACTTTTCCCGCACTCCGCACATTTGTAGGGCTTCTCGCCCGTGTGCGTTCTTTCGTGTTTCATAAGGTGTGTCCTCTGGCTGAAATTCTTCCTGCACTCAGCACATTGAAAGGGCTTCTCCCCTGTGTGAGTCGTTTGGTGTCTGTTAAGGCTTCCGCTCGTGCTGAAGGTCTTCTCGCACTCCACACATTTATAGGGCTTCTCTCCCGTGTGAGTTCTTTGATGTAAGGTAAGCTGCTGGCTCTCAATGAAGCTCTTTCCACACTCCATGCACTTATAGGGCTTCTCTCCTGTGTGGGTTCTCTGATGGGAAAGAAGGCTCCCACTACGACTGAAGCTTTTCCCACACGTCATGCATTTATAAGGTTTCGTCCCGGTGTGAGTTTTCTGATGTGATGTAAGATTATAGCTTTGGCGGAAGCTTTTCCCGCACTCCAGGCACTTATATGGCTTCCCCCCCGTGTGCGTTATTTCATGCGCAGTCAGACTTTTGCCATCAATGAAGCTTTTCCCACACACAACACACTCGTATGGATTCTCCCCTGGGTGGATTATTTGCAGAGAATTAAGGCTTCCACTACTGATGAACCTCTTTCTACACGCCATACATTTATGAGGTTTCTCCTCTGTGCGGGTTTTGGGATGTGTGTTAAAGGGGCTGCCGGAAGCAAAACACTTCCCGCAGTCCACGCATGTGTACATTTTCTCCCTTGTGTGGATTCTCTGATGTGCATGAAGGCTTCCGCTGTGGATGAAGTTCTTTCCACATTCCAGGCACTTATACGGTTTTTCACCCGTGTGAGTCCTTCTATGTGTATGAAGACTTCCGCTGTTGCTGAAGCTCTTTCCACAGTCCGTACACTTGTATGGTTTCTCCCCTGTATGAATTCTTTCATGGGTAGTAAGGCTTCCGCTATCGCTGAAGGCTTTTCCGCACTGTGTGCATTTATAGGGTTTCTCCCCAGTGTGAGTTCTTTGATGAACGGTAAGATGGTGACTGTGACCAAAGTTCTTTCCACATTCCAGGCACTCGTATGGTTTCTCCCCTGTGTGGGTTCTACAATGCCTGTTCAAGTTTGATTTATCTTTGAATGTTTTCCCACACTCCGGGCATTTTTCTTTTCTATTTCCTTTCTGATCTTCCTGTGGGATTAGGAGTTTGTGGACACTGGCACCCTGAGAAGCAGAGAATCTCTTCCTCCCTGCCTTTGGTTGGTTTCCCATGTGCCTTTTCCATCCCCTTTGAATGCCAAGGTCCTTCCCCACTGAATACTTGGCCACTTCTGATGACACCTCAGGTGGCTCCACAGAATTCTCATTGTCCTTCTGTCTGAGGCCTGCGTGCAGAAAAGAAAAACTTCATGTTAGGAGTTCAAGGCAGAAATCTCATCGGGGGACTGAGTCAGACATTTCTCTAATGACAAGAAGAAGAAGAAGAAGAAGAGTTTGGATTTGATATCCCGCCTTTCACTCCCTTTAAGGAGTCTCAAAGCGGCTAACATTCTCCTTTCCCTTCCTCCCCCACAACAAACACTCTGTGAGGTGAACAAGGCGGAGAGACTTCAGAGAAGTGTGACTAGCCCAAGGTCACCCAGCAGCTGCATGTGGAGGAGCGGAGACGCGAACCCGGTTCCCCAGATTAGGAGACTACCGCTCTTAACCACTACACCACACTGGCTCCAGAATTCTCCCCATTCTTCTCTGTGCACGCTACTGAAATCTAGCTTACAACAGGCACTCGGCTGTATTCCTCTCAGCTCTAAAGATTGCTGACTGCAACATTTTGCATGATTATTTCCAAAAGCTTTATTCCAAAGTTCTTTTTTAAAAAAATGATATTTATTCAAAGTTTCATCAATACATGAAAAAAACCCCAACCCTAACCCGAAAAAGAAAAAAGATAAAATACAAATCTCAAATTACAGCTTTTCATTTGCTTAATTCTTAGACCTCCTCACCCCCCCTGTATTCCAGTTCAATTCATTATTTCAGCAAATTCTTCCCCTATTTCTCAATTTTAATTTAAATCCAAAGTTCACTACAATGCCCAAGCCCTGGTGCTTAGCAGGTGCACTATTCGAAAGCAAAATAATAATAAAAGAATAAAACCAGTTTATTTATTGGTAAAAATATTTTATAGAATCATGGAAGGAATCCCAAGGGTCATCTAGCCCAACCCCTGTGATGCATTAATACTGTTCATAGCCATCCCTCCCAGGGCTCGAACCACCAACCTTCTGGTTAACAGCCAGATGCACTGACCATGTTCCATGCTGGAACCCCTCCATTGTGGTGGCAAATACTCAGAACAGGAGTTCCCCCTCTCCAGCCTCAATCAGCCAAAGAGATCTTTACCCACAGAGTCCAGATTCCCACAACTCTCCATCGTGGCTTCCTTGTACAAAGCTCTGTGGCCTGGATCCGGGAGATTTTACTCCCCCTTGGCGAAATACGCAGTCACCTTCTTCTCTGCTGAAAGAAAGGAGGAGTCTTCATTTGAAGGTAGTTTCCCCCACGTGTACCACTGCTCCCTCTTTGAACACTGTATTTTAATACTTTGTTGGAAGCCGCCCAGGATGGCTGGGGAGACCCAGCCAGATGGGCGGGGTATAAATAATACATTATTATAATATTATTATTATTTGTTACCGGAAAATCCGAGGGTTCTCTTGGACAAATGAAGACACCGACTAGAGCAAATCAGAGCAAAACAGCAGCCAGTAGGCTCGGTCTTTATTAAGAAAAAGACTGTCGCGACAGGACTCCCACCGCCCACGAGGTGAAGCAAGATGGAAGCCCCGAACAATGGGAGACCCTAACTTTTATCAACCACTAATCCCCTTGACTACACCCCCAGAATTACATCATATATACATCATGATTTTATTAAAGATAGGAGGGGTTGGGGAGGGGCCACGCAGGTAACCCGAGTGTCCTGACACCTGGCCGGAGCCCCCTTCCCCCTCCCCGCATGAGTCATATACGAAAACAAAGGAAGAGGGCAAAGTTTCCTGCCCCCTGAGGAGAGTCCGATCACAGTCTTTTGTGTATGTCTGCGCGGAATACACCAAGATATGCAGTTCATTGTGTCTTTGATAGCCTCCTGTCTGAGCCGATCACTGATGGCTATCAAGGTGGTCACGTCTAGTAGGAAGGAACACAGAGTACGTGACTGCTCGGTTAAGGGATTATGGCCGCTTGATTTCGGACCACCCCCCTTTGATAGTCTTTGTAATATCCAGCAGAATAAAAGTGGTCCGGTGAAAATCCGAAGTACGGCTGATTTTTAGTGAATTAATGAAGAATATTGTCTTTGAAGTTCAAAGCACTTTCGCTTTCAGGAAGCGGCTTGCTACATTTTGATTAAATCAGTCACGGTCAATTGAACTCGGAAACCTTGTATTGAGAGCTGTCAAAGGTAGGGGGGAGGGCGGCAATAGCCTGCAGTACCCGCGTGGCCGCCGCAAGGGGCGCTGTTCGGTAATGTTGATTGGCTGAGGCGGGCGCCGATTGACAGCAGAGTTCGGTCGGCCGGTCTACTCTCAATAAAAATAGGGCGATGCGGAGCGCCATAGCGGGAAGCTGTCAAGCCAGCGCTTCCTTATTTACGGAAGGCTTTAAGGGATGTCCCTCTAAAAGGGACATCTCCAGGGTCAGGAAGGGGGAATGTATGCGTGTGTGAGTGTGGTGCTTGTGTAACACGTGTCAGTGAGTTGGGGGGGGGTTTCCGGCGACAGTTCCCCCCTTCGGAGATAAGATTGCGAAGGTAGGAAAACCGCGCAATCCTTCTCTCCGCATAAATCAATAAAAATCTGACATGTCGTACCTAGAGTCCTGGGTCTGGAGGTTCTTCAAGGGTCCCATTTCAATGGTTGACGGAATTCCTGGCGTCGGTGATCTGTAGGTGGTGGTCGATCGCGGGTGAAGGGTAGGAAGGCAAGAGCCGCAGGTTTGACAGCACATCGGGAAGCAATGGATTGAGCAGCAGAAGAAAGCAATGCAAATGGTGACAGTGATCAGTATTAAAAGGCCGTTTCCTAATAGTTGTTTTATCCAAGCGGACCCGGGTAGCCAGCTCCAGAAGTGTGCGTCTGAAAGGCCCTCATGTTGGATGTTTTGAAGCCGTTCCTTTAGTTTGTGGATGTTATTGAGATGACCAGTGATGTTCAAGGTCTGGTCCGAGACGTGTGTGCAGCACTCGGTTCCGACAAGAGCACATACGCCTCCAGTCGACGCAAGGACGTAGTCCAAAGCAAGGCGGTTCTGTATCGAATTTTGCCTGACCTCTGTCAGTTCCGTCAGAATAGATTGGGTGGCTGCATTTGATTCTTCCATAAAGTTCAGCAATATGTCTGTTAATTTGAGGATGTCGACATGGTTGGAGCCTGCTCCGTACGCAGGGAAAAGGGCTCGCCCGTAAGTTTCTCCATTTGCTTCCACATCGGAGAGGTCTGACAAGTCCTTTGCCCTCTTATTACGCATCCTTCCGGGGGGAAGGTTTTGGGTTACCCGGATCCCCGGAAGAATTAGTCCAAGGTAGCAGGTGCCCCGGGAGTGGGGGCTGGCCCACACATAGCCACGGTGGCCGCAAATCCAGAACAACCCTTGGAGGCACGAGTTTATACGACCAGTGAGGAAGGTGCGGAAGAAACATTGGGAAGTTGGGGACGGGTCCCAGAATTCGGGTAAGCCCATTACACGTTTCCATGCAGACAGTAGGTTGGGATGGGAGGAGGGGTTGCTTTGGTACCATAGAGTAACTTTTCCGGTCAAGGTGATGTCAATAGTGTACTTACAGGTGCTCTCGCCGATGACTTTGTCAGTGCCGCTGAACCTCCGGCAGAGATCACCTGTTGTAGGTCCAGTTAGGTAGATGTACTGGTGAGTGAAATTGACGGCAGTCAGGTTCCAGGACTGTACATCAGCGGAGAGGTGTTGTTGAAGGGTAAGGGGCACTCCGAGGAAGGGCAGGCCGCTGTGGAGATGAGCAGGAGCATTGGCACAGATCCAGCATTCACTGGCCGCTGTTTGCTTTGCGATCTGAGAAATTAGTTTCACATAGGTGTTGGAGTGCCATGTGGACAAAAGGTCATTATTTGTGGGGTTTTCGGATATTGACAGTTCCCCCCTTTGTCGAGGTGCGGTGCCTGCGGGGTGTAGTGGATCTTGACGAAGTAGATAAGTGAGGTTTGTAGTGAGTCCGCCGCAACGTTGAGGTCCGGTGGTGTCCCATTCAGTTGGGGGTGTAGTGGAATAATGCCAGCCTTCCAGGTACGCCTTGCCGTCCCAGTTGGAGGCTAGTCCAATATCCCAAACGCAGCAGTATCGTCGGAGGCATACTCCTTGTAAGATGGTTTGGCGGGGGGCGGAATCTACCCTTTGACAGTAGAATCCGTGGATTAAGCGGTCTGTTTGGTGGTTCTGGTCAGTATAAACTGACTCACCGCCACCATTGTCAAGGAGAGTCCAGTTAAGTGTTTGGTGTGGTGTACCATCGGAGAAGAGAACATAGGAACCGTTGAGGCAGTGTGCACGGTTCCAAGGGCCGTCTCTGGTGAGAATGAGTTTGCCAAGAGGCGTGTAAGAGGGTGAGCGAATAAAAAGTTCCCATGCTTGGTGTGCTGCAAGGACCGGTGATATGGAGTGTCGAAGGAGGACTCGAGTCTCAGGCAAACAGAACTCAAAATCTCCAAGGCGGTCCAATGTTCCTCTTTTTACCATATCAACTATTCCGAAGTCTAGATATTTGTATTCAGTTTGTAATCCAGGGCAAGAAGCATGTGTGATCTTGGTGCTTTGAGAGGAAACGGTGGTGAGAAGAAGGATTGGCAAGGTGAGTATGGTGATGGCCGACATCGTAGCAGAGGTAGTCGAGCTGTCAAATGGGGAGCGGTGTAGCTGTCAAACGGAGAGCTGTCAAATAGGGAGCGGTGGAGCTGTCAAACGGAGAGCTGTCAAATGGGGAGCGGTGGAGCTGTCAAACGAAGAGTTGTCAAATGGGGAGCGGTGTAGCTGTCAAACGGAGAGCTGTCAAATAGGGAGCGGTGGAGCTGTCAAACGGAGAGCTGTCAAATGGGGAGCGGTGGAGCTGTCAAACGAAGAGTTGTCAAATGGGGAGCGGTGTAGCTGTCAAACGGAGAGCTGTCAAATAGGGAGCGGTGGAGCTGTCAAACGAAGAGTTGTCAAATGGGGAGCGGTGTAGCTGTCAAACGGAGAGCTGTCAAATAGGGAGCGGTGGAGCTGTCAAACGGAGAGCTGTCAAATGGGGAGCGGTGGAGCTGTCAAACGAAGAGTTGTCAAATGGGGAGCGGTGGAGGTGTCAAGCGAAGAGCTGTCAAATGGGGAGCGGTGGAGCTGTCAAACTGCACGTGTTTTACGGAGTTTGAGGCGAATTGGGGGTTGGTTGTTGTGGTCGGGTGCTGGGATGATTTCGGAGGTCCAATGGGTTGATGAAAGCGGTTGGTCGGGTCCGGTCTGTTGGGCTCGATTCGTGCCCCGGTCTGGTCCCGGTCTGTTGGGCTCGATTCGTGCCCCGGGCTGGTCCGGTCTGTTGGGCTCGATTCGTGCCCCGATCTGGTCCGGTCTGTTGGGCTCGATTCGTGCCCCGAGCTGGTCCGGTTTGTTGGGCGTCCTCTGTATCGGAGTCGTTGTCCGGCGGCCGGCGCGGGGTGCTGTATGGTGAGTCGTCCCGCGGCGGGTTCAGGTACGGAGGCAGGTTTACAGCGGGGTATGATGTAACCAGGCTGTCTTTTCTGCTACCTTAACGGAAGTCGGAGTGGTTAAAAGTATTTGGTAGGGGCCCTCCCAGGTGGGCTGTAGGGGTATCTTATGATAGGTTTTCGCTAGTATCCAGTCCCCTGGTTGGTAAGGGTGGACATTTTCGTCGAGGGGGATGTTTTGGCTGGAGGCAGCGTATTTGTGGAGAAGGATTAGCTGCCTCTGGAGTTGTATTACATATTTTGTTAATTCTGACTCGCCCACCTCTAGTTCTGATGTTGGGTATTGGGTATTATACACTGGAGAGGGTCGCCCCAAACAATAGTTCATAGGGGGACAGTTTGAGATTGCCGCGGGGGCATGCTCTAAGGTTGTGAAGGACTAATGGAAGAGCATTAACCCATTTGATGTCAGAGTCTTTACAAAGTTTCCCAAGTTGCCGATTTTAGTTGCTGGTTCATTCTTTCAACCTGTCCCGAGGAAGGGGGTGATATGGGGTATGTAGTTTCCATTTAATGCCAAGGGCAGTAGCTACTTGTTGTATTACATCCGAAGTGAAGTGTGAGCCTCTGTCGCTGTCTATGTGTCGGGGGATTCCGAAGCGGGGTATAATCTCTTGTAATAGGATCTTTGCAACGATGTGTGCGGTCGCTTTACGTGTTGGGAAGCATTCCACCCACCCGGTCAACTGGTCAATAATCACTAGGGCATGCTTATATCCTTGGCAGGGTGGTAGATCTATGAAATCTATCTGAAGACTTTCGAATGGAACGAAAGCCCATGGCCTGGCCCCTGGTGG